CAGGCTTGAGCTTGTGGACCGCGAGGCTCTTCCCCGTCTGCTCCACGCTGGCGGAATCGGTCCGCGTGTCGCTGCAGATGGTGCGTTCCGTGCAGCACACGTCACGTCTCGCATTGCACGGCCTCAGGCGCTTGTCCGTGCAGGAGGTGCTCAGGTGCAAAGAGGTCGGGGACATGATGAAGTTCAGGAAGCAAATTTATGATGAAATCCATCTACGAAGGCAAAAAGAGAAGTCTGATCTGTAGAATGAGCAGTGCTTGAGCAAACGCCCGGTGTTGGTGTGAGGGTGGTTGGTACTGCCCAGCTTCTGAAAATCGTCAGAGGAAAGCACACGGATCTTGTCTGTGGTTTCGTCAGAGGAGGAAGTGTGAACCTGCATTAGCAGCGTTGTAGCATGGCACGAATGGTGCAGCGAATGCAGATGAACTGTTCTTTTGATGAGAGGAGCATGGAACTGTTTCAGATCTCTGCAGACTCTGATGGGTGACTTTTCCTGGTCACTGTGTTCTGTGGCCTTTGCAGGAGGGGTGTGATACAGAGCAGATTCATGGACATTTCACTGGCAACTGCTGTAGAAACTTTTCAGCATGGGCTTAGCTGCAGCAGCACAGCGTGATAACTCCAAGTTTCTCTCCTTTCACCTGACTTTTTAGTGATGTGTCAAACGGGTACAGGTACACTTATTAAAAGTACTTTTTAAATCCAGACATCCTGTCTTTAGCATTAATCGTTTTCTTTCTCTGTTTTGTAATTTTTCTTCTTTGGTTTCATCAGAGGAAAAAGCTTTGCATGGGGGATGGTTCTTTCCTTTGGGACTGGTAATATTGGGGTTAAAACTGTTGAGTCCTTGGAGAAGAACTTCCACAAATTTCCATGGAGCCACAGGTAGTGCAGGTTTGCCCATTGATGCTCAGCGCTCACACAGACCAGTGGAGCAGAGGCTCAGTGGTGTGGTGGTACCAACCTGCAGACCCAGCTGCATCTGGGGTGGGTCAGAAGCAGGGCCTCATGCCCCTGCAGGGAGTGGTATCCTCTGGGATGTTCCGTTTTGTGTCATTCCTCAACCCTGCTCCGGTGCTGGAATGACCCAAGTTCCTGTGAAGTGGTGGGTGTTGCACCAGCATCCTGCCCCGTGAGGGTGCTGAGGCGCTGGCACAGGGTGCCCAGGGAAGCTGTGGCTGCCCCATCCCTGGCAGTGTTGAAGGCCAGGTTGGACACAGGGGCTTGGAGCAAGCTGCTCTAGTGGAAGGTGTACCTGCCCGTGGCAGGGGTTGGGGCTGGATGAGCTGTAAGGTCCCTTCCAACACAAACCAGCTGGGATTCTGTGATTTGTATGTATCCTTGATGACACATTTGAAGAACAGTGTCTGTTTAGGCACTGGGTAAATCTTTTGCAGTGATTTATGAAGTGTGTGTGGTTTTCAGCTGTAGCAGATGTAGCCCTTGCAAGAAGGGCTATGTTACAGTGCGATCAAATCTTACTAAAACCAGACAGAACTCAGCCTGGATGCTTCCTGACAGTGATGACCTCAGTTGATGTAGGCAGTATCTGTATGTATTCTATTCATGTACATTGCACAAACTTCAGCCCATCTTTTTCACAGTGTGCTGTGAAGGTAGGTGATAACAGTTTTCTCATGTAACCAGCTGGGATAAACTTGTTCCAGGGGAATTGAGGGACTTGCGCGAGGCCATGCAGTGAAATCTAGCAGCAGGGTAATAGTAATTGTGGGGCTACTGGTTTGTGGCATCAGATTCTGATTCACGGCATTCTTTTCCAGGTTTTCCTTCCAGTCTGAGCAGCAAAGGATGCAGTGCTCAAAGTGCCCGTCAGGCCGGAGCAGGAGGAACGGGAGCGTCTGTTGAAATCTGGGGTCTGACTTTGCTAAGGCTCCTGAGGTTCCTGGCTGGACACAGTTGCCATGCAGGCCTCCAGGTCACTGCCTGGCTCCATCTCGTGAAATGCGTCTCAGGCTGGTACAATCTCAAATAAACCAAGATGAGTGTTTAATGATTTTATTCATGTCAGCTTGCTTTATGTAATTAGGTTTGCTGTGTAGTGCAATAATGGGCCTCATCATGAGCATTGTCAAATGATTTCCCTGGCTGCTTTGGGAGCATGCTCGAAAGAGCAGGGATGTAGCCTTCCCGTGTGTGTTACACTGTGCAGCCGGGGAGGATTCTTTCAGTCACCTTTTGGGCAGGAAACTGAAATCTGAGAATTGAGGCCCTTAAAGAGGAGCAGGAGGGAGGTGTCTGGGATCAGAGCGAGCAGCTGGGAGCATCTGTGCCAGCAGGACCTGGGGAGCTGATGGAGGAAGGTGAGTGCCAGCAGCCACCCGGATCTGCCCGGGAGCATCCCTGTCCTGGACGGGCAGTTTGCCTGGGCTGAGCTCCCTGGTTCAGCCTCTGCTTGTTCCTAAATCCCCGGTGCAGCAGCTTCACGCTCTGCTCCCTGCACGTGTGGAACGTGAGTCCCTGTGCAAACACCCCTGCAGCGTTGTGAGAGCAGAACCAGCAGCATTACCCCGTGCACTCCTTTCAGCCCTCTCCCAGAGAAGCCGTGGAACCACCCGCTCCTTATCCGGGATACAGAATTCCTCAAACTTCATTTCCATTAAGGTGCCTTTTTCATTTTATGTGACAGGTCAGCATGTCACCAGAATGACATGGAAATGTACAGGAGCAGCTTCCAGCCTCCCAAAGGGAATGTCAGGTATGGAGATCTTCTAACCAACGTGACATAAAGACCATTGCAAAAGGCTTGATCCTGTAAAGCCTTCCTGTGGAGGATGCTGGAAATCAGAGGTGGAAAGGAGCCCTTCACACGTCCCTCTTGCAGGGCTGGACGTGTCAGCAGTGCGTGGCAGGCACTCGTACAGCTGAGCTGTGTGACCGCTGCAGCTGGGGGCTCTGCTCACTGAGGAGCGCCGCTCTGCCGCTGCAGTGCTGCCGGTGCAGATGCGAACTAGAACTGGCCCAACAGAGCAGTTGTTCCGTTCCTCTCTGTTTGCAAGCATGCTGCAAACAGGCTCTGCAGTCGCTCCTTTTGTCCTCTTCCCCCTGATCTCAGTTATTCCGCAGCTGCCTCACAGCTGGGCTGTGGATGTGCAGAACTCACCTGGAAGCTGCTTTCATGGTGTTGGATGGGCTCTGGTGACTGACCGGATGGTCCTGCTGTGCTGTAGCTTCCAGAGCTCTCCGTGAGAGTCCATAGGAATGAATCTTCACCCACACAAATGTGTGCAAAAGAGTGAGAAAAAATACAGCGTAAAACTGATGACTTTGTTGATGTTCTTGAAGCAGATGGTACTAGAATATAAACAATATGCAAGGTATTTTCTGCTTTAAAGTATATCATTTTATCTCTATCTCATGGAAACTTTATGTACTTACGTTATAAAGTTGCTGTATTAAAATGTGTTTTCTGTGCAAAAGTCAACAGAACTTTTCCTGGGGTTTGGAGTCTGTCCTGTCCCTGTCATGGTCGGCTTGGTCTGAATGGAAGAAAATTCTGTTCCTCAGGCACCCAGGAGCACCACAAAGTGTTTTGTCACTTCCAGGTCCGTTTTTTCTCCTGGCATTTCACAGAACCCCAGCCTGGTTTGTATTGGAAGGGACCTTAAAGCTCCTCCAGCTCCAACCCCTGCCACGGGCAGGGACCCCTTCCACTAGAACAGCTTGCTCCAAGCCCCTGTGTCCAACCTGGCCTTGAACACTGCCAGGGATGGGGCAGCCACAGCTTCTCTGGGCACCCTGTGCCAGCGCCTCAGCACCCTCACAGGGAAGAGCTTCTGCCTAAGAGCTCATCTCAGTCTCCCCTCTGGCAGCTTAAAGCCATTCCCCTTGGCCTGTCCCTGCAGGCTCTTGTCCAAAGCCCCTCTCCCGGTTTCCTGCAGCCCCTTTAGGCACTGGAAGGAAAACAAGCAGTGCTTGGCTAATGATAGCAGTGGGAGAGGAGATACCTGCCTGGGTGCTGCATCCATTGCTTGGTGCTCGTCACCAGCGCACTCGGTTGCTTGGCAACTGGACGTGGAGTATCCATCACCAAGCTGGTTCCTTCTTGCAAATATTTTGTTGAATATCACAGAGTGTGCTGTCAAAGCAGGTCAAAGTCTTCCGAAACACGTCCTGGCTTAATGGGCAGCTCAGTGCAAATAAAGGGATGAGCTCTTGCTGTGCCAGGAGCTCTCAGGGTGCAGGTTTGTTTGCAGGGGGATGCAGCAGGGTGAGGATGTGTGTGTGTGTGTGTGTGTGTGTGTGAGTTACATAGTGTTGTCTTCTTGCCTGAAATCCTTCACTGAGAAAACTACCCACTTGAACACAGAGCAGCTGCCAAGGTCAGTTAACACACGTTAAATATAGAATAGATACATGCACAAATACAAATACATAGATATTTACAAATCTATGGGTCTATTTCTGTGTCTATTTGTACATGTATATGTGTATAAAATAAGTTTTTAAAAGCAATAGAAGGAGGAAAAGAGGCATCTACAGAGACCAGCATAAACCCCACAGCTGGCTGGGGCAATAGGTGTGATGTAGTTCATTCCATTTGGAAGAAAAGGGAAGGAAAAGGATGCGAGGAGGGCAGGCTGTGGCTGAGCAGACCTGTGCTGACCACGTTACCTGAAGACATTCAGTTTGTGAGGGTGACAGACAGGTTATTTCACTGTTAAACAGCCTTTCACCATTCTGAGGCACAGACTTTTGCCGTTAGGAGTTGAGATCATCTCTGGCCTCCCCAGAGTGGGGACCCCAGCACCCCTTGGGTATCCTGAAAGCACCCTTGGGAGTCAGCTTCCCAAATTCCTCTTCCTGTACAAAGCTGGTAGCAAGCCGCTGGATTGCCCAGCTGCACCAGCACCGGGTGCTGAGCAGACGGAAGGAGATGGTTGTTTCTGTTGAAACAGGCACGGGCTGTGAAGGAAGCTGAGCAGGTAGCAGCGCTGTTCTGTGCAGCTGACCGCACAGGCTGTTTCCCTCCCTGTCATTGTTGCATGACATTCCAGTTGGCACAGGGGTTATTTTTAGGCAGAGACTATCAAAAGCATTTTTCAGGAGGACTGTCCCTGCTCCTGACCGAGGAATCACGTTACTGCGGCAGCTTTGCTGAAACAAAGAAGATAGATTGGACAAATGGGAAATTACAAGTCCAGACCAACCCAGACTTGCACTGGTAACGCATGCTGCTTTTTTAATGCCATTTACCAAACACCCATCTGCGAGAGGCAGGTGGGATTTCAGGAAATGCCTTTTACTCCTGGGCTCAAGGCTGCGGTGTTGTATTGTTCTCGGTTTACAAGAGAAAGGCTTAGCCCAAGCCGCATGTACAGCCTGGGAAAGAAGGCAGAAAGCCTCAAAGTAGATTTCTTTGTGGAGATATCATATGAACATAGATTATGCTGTTGCTTTAGCTTGTACTTCATTAGAAGACCTTTAAACTGCCAACTCTTTATGCTGTGTGTCTATGCTCAGATTTAGGAACTAAGAACTAACAAATGCACCCTGAGGTTTAAGTTTGCTCTTGCTCCAGTTAGAATATTCCTGATATAAGGATTCAGATGTAGTACTTGTCAGTGAAACCAGTGTATGTGTGTCTATATTGGTGCAGCAAGAACAGCTTACTAGCTGCAGTATTTAAACTTCCATACTTGAATAGAAAACTGTATGAAACAGTGCAACTGGGTGTTTAAACACCAAGCGCTTTGGTTACTGGGACATTATGCTTCATGGTTTTGATGTGTTTTGAAGTGTTTTATGAATTAGGGTTTTTTTTGTTGGCAGATGAATGGAAGAAAAAGGTAAGTGAATCCTATGCTATCATCATAGAGCGGTTAGAGGATGACCTGCAAATCAAAGAGAAGGAGCTGGCGGAACTGAAGCACGTTTTTAGGTAAAATACTCTGGAAACCTGCTTATTAATTTCTTTCACAGAAGTATCTGCCATTAAACAGCAATTTCAGTTTCAGGTGTTTGCTCATGGAAGGACTTTGTCATGTACAAATGCATGGTCTTTAATGTCTATTTCTGGGACTATGTCACAGCTCTGGGCCAGAGCCCTCAGCACAGTGCCAGAGGTAGTGACTGTTAATTACTGATGCCAGTATCGCACAGCAAATGCCTATGTACTGTGTAAGTTAGTCAGCTCTCACAGGCTGTCCAGCTGTGCTGGGTACTTCCCTGCTCTGCTGATGTGTTTCTTCAGGCAGGAACGTCGCTGAAGTCACAGATTTTCAACAAGCACAAGCAGGTTGTCTTCTGAAAGTGCATTTCAAGTTCATGTTTGCAATTGCTTTCTCAGGGCAGCACTTGCCACCAACCAAGGTCACCCAAAGAGGTAATATATATTTATATGCTCATTATCAGAAAAGCTCAAATGCAGAAGCCACGCAATTCAGTGACTGTGAGTGTGTGAAGATCAGGTGAATAATTCCAGACCCCAAACCCCCTTGGAAAAACAGGGGGTTCTAATCAGAAATAAATCAGAAGCTCAAAAAAGCCCAACTGGTCTCATAAATCATTCACCATGCGCACTGCCAGCACAATTGGCGCTGATGGAGCCTCGGAAGTGAAAGAGGACATTGGGCTTTCATGGACCACCTTGGCTGTGATCCACTAAAGTACTTCACTACTTGCCTCATTTTAAGCCTGTTTAGTAGTAAAACTAGTATCTTCACAAAGTGGAGCCAGAGTTCTCTTTATTTTAGATAAGCAAAACAACTGAGCGTATGGTTACTGTGCTCAGCTCCTGCGTTAGGCATCAGGATAAAGAAAACCCAAACTTTGAGGTTAGCAGACTTTGGCAGCTCAGCTTATCAGTTTGTTGTAGGGCCCATCTAAGTCTCAGTAAGATGCCAGCCAAAATCTGCTTCTTAGATAAAGAGCACTGCTCTTTCCCACAGAAGGGGTGAGAATTAATGGTACTGGTTAACACTGCACTGGAAACACTTGGTTTTGTAGTCAGGCTTGAGGAATCAGACAGTGATCTCCTCTCAAAATGCCTTTACCCATGGGTATGAAATCAGGGCTTGTGGGTCTCTGACATCCAAACATGGCCAGTGTTAGAAATCAATCTTGACTATCCAAGACCTGTTCTGCAGCAGCAGTGGCTATTTTGGGAGCTCTGCTCATCACCGAAGCAGCACAGGAATTCGTAGCTTTTCCCCATTATTAAACCAAATTCACGTATTTAAAAGATTTAGGACTGAGAACCCGGGGGGTTGTTGCAGCGAAGGCAAAGCTCACCTGGGGGAGATGAAATCAGAAGCTGCTCAAGCCCCTGCTCCGGAAGGTTTAGAACATAAGCAGGGTAAAAGTGACCCAGCCTGGCAGAGAGCTCCCAGCATCCCCCATCATCCTCACTGCACTCAGTGGGCATCTCTCCAGTGCCACGGAAAACCCAACAGTTGCAGTAGAGAGAAGCACGTGTGTAGGTAGCACAGCACGTGTCAGAGCCTGGGTAAAAGCTGTCCCTGTTCTGTTCCTGGAGCTCAGAGCTCTCAGTGTCATGGTTTAACTAAAAATGCACCCTAGGAATGAAAAGTCGGGAGTTTGTTTCCCTAAATCATGCAATTAACTCGTAAGGGAATGAACTAGGAGGGCACTGAGGTAAAACCAGCCCTCTGTGGAGTCATTTGAGCTAGTTTTCATTTTCGGTATGGGCCTTTTAATCACAGTTTCTAATATGTAAAAATGTCCTTGCAATATTTTCCCACAAAACCATTATTGTTTTGCCTGCTTGTAAGAACTCAGATTCAAATTGTACAGCAATAAAAAAGCAAACTGAAACTTTTCATTATACCTCGATCCAGGAGAAGAGGGAGATTTCAGTATCCAGCTTAAGGAACTTTCACATTCTGGAAGTTAAAACTGGTTCCTTCAACACAAAGCCCAGAAAAATGAGGTGGTTTAACATTTCCAAATCAACCTTATCATGCTTCATGCAGAAGAATAGGAAAACACAGGGTCTATTACTGGTTTAGAATGACCACACACACTGGACAAGCAGGATTTCCTTTCTGATGGACTTAACTAGGAGAAGTAAAGGGAAGTCTCTGGCTTTGCACTTGAAATTCTGTTTAAAGAATAAATTGTTTAAACGTTTGTTGCAGTTCCTTTGGCTGCTGGGTCTTCTACCTTTATTCTATGAAACGCTTCATTTCTGAGCTGTGGCAAGTGTTGTATGACAGGATTTTGGTTTGACACGGGTCTGCAGGGACAGGCCAAGGGGAATGGCTTTAACCTGCCAGAGGGGAGACTGAGATGAGCTCTTAGGCAGAAGCTCTTCCCTGTGAGGGTGCTGAGGCGCTGGCACAGGGTGCCCAGAGAAGCTGTGGCTGCCCCATCCCTGGCAGTGTTCAAGGCCAGGCTGGACACAGGGGCTTGGAGCAAGCTGCTCTGGTGGAAGGGGTCCCTGCCTGTGGCAGGGGTTGGAGCTGGGTGAAATTGAGCCCCAGGTCTCAAAAACTGCACTGAGATTTCTGTTTGAAAGCTTTTCCAAATGACAGGAGATGTGCGAGAGATGAAAACAGTGATCATCTGTAAACCCTCTTTTTGCAGCTCTGATGAAGCCTTCTGCAAAGTCAATCTGAATTACCGCACAGAAAATGGACTCTCTCTGCTCCATTTATGCTGCATCTGTGGGGGTAGGTATTTGAAATCCAGTGTTCCTTACACAGCTGTGGTTTGGGGTCTGACAACTGTCAGGAAGAGGGTGCTTTCAGGGAGCTTCCTTCCGTGCTGTCCTTGCTGGCAGCTGGGTAAGCACCTCGCAGCATCACTCTAAGCCCCACTGCCAAAAGGGGTGAATCAAGCTACACTGAGCCACATTGTGGCTGATGCTTCTGTCCAGCAAAAGGTTTGGTTGCTAATGTAGTGTGTTGTGCTGCAAGTGTTCAACTGATTCACAGCTTGCTGTACTCGCTGGTTCATCAATCCACTCTCATTCACTATTGCTCTACAGTGCTGTGTTCTGCACATGGCACAGACTCCAGGATAGGCACCTACTTTAGCAATCCTTTGCCATACCTACAACACTAATTTTTCCAGGGCAATGGAAATACCTGTATTTCATTTCACAGCGGTTAAAAGAAGAACAACCCAAATGCTTTAGTGACAAGTACCACCTGGTAGGAGTTTTGCAGACTGCAACTGAGGGTATGTGAGGAAAGAGTGCAGGATGTCTGCTAGGATGCTCATAAAAACACACTGATGGTGGAATTTTCCACTCCTGTCCACACTGCTGCTCTGATACCCATAGTGGGTCATTTGCTCATGCACGCACTTTGCTCTTGTTATACAAGAGCCAAAATCAGCTGAAAGCAAAGAGAATTTTACCCTCAGGTTTCAGCTGTTATTAAACACTAATAACACATTATGGCGATTTGCTCTGTCTCGGTTCAACGCCATCATGAAGGAGGGCCTGATGCTGCACTGCTGAAAACCCGTGGATCTTCACTCTCAGAGTGCAAGGTCATACCCAGATGTGACACCAGTGCCTGGTAACACTGGAGCCACTGGGGATTGCTGAGAGGACATGTAAGAAAGCAGGCACTGCTCATTAACTCCACATGGTGTGTGAGCACTGGAAGGAAGGAGAGAACATAACAGGACTAACAATAACTAATACTGATTACTGTCAGTAGAAGGCAGGTCTGTGTTTTGAGGTCATCACTGTGCATCAGAAGGTCAGAGGAGGGCCAGTGCCCATGGTGACGTTCAGCACCGTCCCCACACCAACTGTCCCTGTGGCAGTGTCATGTGGAGGGGGAGAGTGATGCTTCAGTTCTGAAGGGGCAAAGAGGGCAGTGGCTGAGGAGGCAGAGTCCAGCAGCATCTGCTGCTCTGTGCAGTGCAGCGTGGTCAGGATGTGACGCAGGGGTTTGCTCCTGTAGAGGTTCTCCTGTCCTTAACAAATCCCCATTGAAGTGTGGGCAAATGGCCAGGCTGTGGCCAGGTCTGCAGCTGCCCCTGAGGGCCAGGATGTGGTGCCCAATGCACTGGGGAGGTATCAGATCTACTTCATGACTTGCCTCAGGTCAGCAGCTGAGCCACTGTTGCTCTTTGCTTCAGGCTCACAGGGAAGGCTCTTACTTCATCTGCACGTTCTTCTCTGTACATGACTTTGTTTCCCTTTTTCTTTCTGAAGGTAACAAGTCCCACATCAGAACTCTCATGCTGAAAGGACTGCGCCCCTCCAGATTAACCAGAAATGGGTTCACAGCTCTGCACCTGGCAGCTTATAAGGTAAACTGAACTGGTGAAAGGAAATCAGAACCGAGCAGCTCATTTGTGTGAACCACCCAGTTGGAGTCTCTGGTTGCTATTTCTGGTGAAAACACAGATTTCACATTTAGAGTGCATGGGAAAACGCCCTGTGAAGAGCCCAGCACAGGGAATCAGCAGGTGTTTCTGCAGTGTCGGCCATGAGGGTATGATCCTGCTTTGGAAATATTGATTAAATCGTGGCATGCAACTCAAGATAGAGCAGTGCTCTTTTATTATCATAGCTGGTAATAGAAGCAGTCTCAAAAGAATTCATTTTGCAATTTTTCTTGTTTGCTGCTGCTTTGTTGTTCCCCCTCAGATTCCTCATTCAGCTTCAGTATTAATTTTCCTCACTATTATATTTATCTTTTGAGACTCAGCAATAACAGCAGCGAGGAATAAAGTGGACAAAGACAGCATTTTCTGAAAGAATTGTTATGATCCTTATTTTGAGATGGAGCATCTTAGAAACTGAATCCATGTGTGGCCCAGCCCCAAAAGCACCTGGATTTTTTAGGGGGAACTCAAATCAAATTTGGGAGCTTTTCTAGACTGTAATGGCCACACTTAGATGTCCCATAGGTGCCATAAGCTCATACAGCCTCTTTCCTCTGCAGCTCTCATGGCAGATGCAGTTCCCATTTGCTGTGTTCAAAGCTGGTTAAGCAGGATGGCACCTGTGTGCCACCCCTGATCCATAAGTGGTGTTGCTAGAGAACATGGAAGTGATAGATGGTCTTTAATCCAAACACCCAATTCCAGAGCAGCAGGAGTCATGGCAGTCTCTATCAATCCTCTCCAAAAGCTCACCTGTGGAGGAGGAGATGTTTTGCCTTCTGCCGGGAGATAATCTGGTGATTAGAATATTTGTCCGGAAAGAAGACAATGAAGTCTCTCCTGGAGAGAATTCAGCTCATATTGCCAGTCAGCACCTATGGCTGTCCCAGCGTGAGCATGCAGTCAGCTTCCCCATGGGGAGAGCGAAGGGAAGGCCTAACACAAGGTTGTGTAGGGACAGTGTTGCCTACAGGGCAACATGTGGGGCACATGGCACACGGTCCTCAGTATTATCTGTGCAAGGCAGACACTGGACCCCCAATGCAGCAATGGTTTTGCTGCTTAGAGGGCAGTAGGAAGGGAAGGAAAGAAGAGATGCAAGCAGAAGCATTTGTGCCCTAAGGTGGGAAGAAAGACACTGCCCTATCATCTCCAGCGTTTGTCGTGGACCAGCTGAGCCCGTTTCCTGCTCCACTTGCTGGATTTCATGAATCCCATCCTGGAACAATAACCTTGCCCCAGGTGTGTTCAGAGAGGTGATCATTAAACAGGTTGAAGAGTCCATCATGGAGCTGGATACCTGAAACTCACAATGTGCTGAGGATGCTGAGGATGCTCTGCAGCTCCATGTTTAACTGTGTATTTATCCATGAGCCACCATCTCTCCTAGTTACTGTGCTATGAGCACAGTATCTTGCATTCTGTCTCGGAATTCCTATGTTAATTTTACAGCCACTGGTACCCATTAGCAGTGCAGGCTATAAACTGATGACAATCAGCCAGTCTTATACATCATGGGGTGAGGTGTTTTACAGCAGTCATGAAAGAAACTTCCCCCGTGCTCAGTGTTGCATTATTAGCCAATTGCCTGGAAGAATTTCTCTGCTTTCTTTAATGTCAGTCTCAGGGAATGGTTTCCAATCAATAATTTAGCTGAAAAAACATTCCTTTGTTTAAAAGGAATTTTATATCAGATTTCCCAGGTGTTTTCATTACTTGGGAATAGTTTTGATTTTGCTATCAAATCTTGTTTTGTCTGGTTGCCCTGCACTGTATAGTTGATAAATCTCTTCTATGCACTTAGGCACAAAACTATATCAGACAGTCATTTGGTGTAATGTAATATCCAGTATCTTTTGCAGGTACCATGAAGCTAAGCAAACTAGTGTGAATTTGGGGATGTAAAGTAGAATGCAATATAACATTCCTCCCAAAAGTGACATTTTGAGACTTTAAATGACAGATTTTGTTGTATTCTAGTTCTTTTCTAAGTAAAACATAAAGGAGCCAACAGATACCTCTTAACAACAGTGATGTGCATTGAGGGAGGGCAATTTCTTGTGAAAGTCCTTGCCTGCTGCTTACCTGCATTCTGGGCGGTTTTGTGGCATTTCCTCTGGGTAAAACAGAATTGGGAAACTGGGATGAGTCACTAACCAGAGCAGAACATTCCAAGGTAATTCAGACTCAGCCTGTCTTCCCAGGCAGCACAATATCCCACCCATTAGCCACCCAAGCACCATGTTTCGAGGTCTAAAACTATTTGATAGGGAAAATGATGTAAACTTTAACAGTCCATTGTTATCAAAGAGAAATTGTGGATTTCCTGAAAGCAGGAAAACCATTTCACTATGAACAAATTCACATATTTCAGCTGCTGCTTGTCTGGCACTGGCTCCTTCTTGCCCTTCTTCTAGTGACTACTTCAAAGAGGTAGAGAACAATGAGGAAGTCTGGAGCCTTTAGCACCTCTTTCACTCTTGAGCTGTGTGCCTTTCCTCTCCTGAGACAATGAAAACGGATTGGAAAAGGCTCATCTCTGGGCAGATCTCCAGGAAGGCGGAATTATTGTAGCTGTAGTTAGTGCAGTTAGAACAAGTGACGGTGAGCAAGGTGGTCTGGTTTCTCCTGCCAGCTCTGTCACTGCCCCCCATCATTTCACTTCTCTGTGTTTAGTGTCGCTATTTGTGAAGCAGAATTTATTGTTGGTCACATTGCCTGTGCATTGTGACTCTTAATGTGTTTCTCAAGTTGATTTTTATTGCTACCATGTGATAGTGCCCATTGCTGCTGTTATACCTGCAAGAAGCCATAGCTAAACTGCGTGAAGGAGAGGAGTGAAAAACAAGCCTGCAGTTGAGGATGTGGCACTCATGTTACCCTGGGAGCTCCTCAGGTGCCCTTCTGCCATGTTAGCTGCTGTAACGTCCCGAACCCAGGACAAACATGGAGAACAGTTTGTGTCAGCACCTAATAATGGCTTGGAGACACAGATCTTTAATGACATCATGTAATCAGAATAAAGACTTTAGATGCAGGCTTTAGTTTAGCAAAGGAGAGACTTTTGGTGCCCAGGACAAATCCTCCCTCCACCTTTTCCTTGCACCCATGCTCCTGGCATCGCAGTCAGTCCCTTTGCTTGAAATAGAGTCACAGCCTGGTTTGGGTTGGAAGGAACCTTAAAGCTCATCCAGTTCCAACCCCCGGCAATGAGCAGGGACACCTTCAGCTAGAGCAGGTTGCACAGAACCACATCCAGCCTGGCCTTGAATGTCTCCAGGGATGGGGCATCCAGCACCTCTCTGGGCAACCACCCTCAGTGTAAAGAATCTTTTCCTTGTGTCCAGCCTGAATTTCCCTCTTTTAGTTTAAACCCATCACCCCCCATCCTGTCACAACAGGCTAAAAGTCTCTCCCCGTTGTTCTTATAGACCCTTTAAGTACTGAAAGACCGCAGTAAGGTCTCCAGGGGTCTCGGAGGTCTCGATACACAGACACAGCTCTGGGGCTCCTGTGGGAGCTGTGCCCAGCACTGACGTGTCGGCCCCGCTGCCTTTCAGGAGAACACGGAGCTGCTGACAGCGCTGCTGCACGGCGGAGCTGACATCCAGCAGGTCGGGTACGGAGCCCTGACAGCCCTGCACATCGCCACCATCGCCGGCCACCACAAGGTACGCTGCCCCTCTGCTGCTGGAGGCCACCTCTGTGAGTGCAGATAGCAGCAGGTCGCTGTGTTTCAGGTTGATGCTGTTCCAGACAAAACTCAAGCTGGTTGGGTACAGCTGAGTTGCACTGAATGTTCTGTACCTTTGGGGAACCCGCCCCAGTGCATGTGCTTTTACATGAACAAACATGCAGAGAGGACTCAGGTCTGTCTGTACACCTCTTACCTTTACATGAGTGCTTTAAAGTCTTGGCAATAAATGGCACTGCTTTCTAAATATCAGAAGTGTTAACCAACAGATAGCTGATGAAATGCACTCACTCATACATAGGCATTTCTGAACCTGGATAGGGAGCGAGGCTTCCAAACGCTGCCTCTTGAGGGTGAAGGAAGCACAGTAAAAGTCCCATTTCCTCTTCTAGGTGTCACGGGCTCTGCTGCAGAGCTCTGTGATTTTCGCTTCAGAAGGGGACAGAGGTTCTCCATGCAGAGCTATTTTGTACTTCGGATTAGTGCAGAGAAAGCTGTTGCCAGGGCAGGTCTAGTGTGAATCTCAAACATCCACAGTGATAAGCTTCCTTTGGAGACTTATCACTATGGGGAGCAAAGGGAGGAAAAGGGATGAGATTCCCTAGATACCCATAATCGGGCCCTTCCCTCTCTAGACCTGCTGTCAGTCATGAATCTGTTTCCTTATCACTTACCACCCCAGCTCAGTCATTTCACACTTCATCTCATTTCTGTCACCCTGGCAACAGCTCACTTGGTGTAATTTATTTATTACTTTAATCTCTTCAAGTACTGGGTGCGCAGTTACCTTGGTGCTGGGAGGCTCATGGCTCTAAAGGGACTCACCAGTTCAGGTACTTACTTCACTTTTTATCTCCTTTGGGTCCATTAAGCAAGCAAAGATTTTGTCCTCTGCTTGAGTAAAAGTTTAAACTTACTGGGCTGGACTAGTGTTTGGAGACAGAGACAGCAAGTTCTTTAAAGAGAGAGAAGCAGCAAGAGAATAACTAAGGACAAGGAAGGAAATGCAGGAGATGCCAATACCTGCCTTTACACTGTGAATTTAGTTGTGCGTTTTAGGCTTAGCCATTCCCTTCCAGTAGAAGAGTTTATTTGGGATAGAACAAAACGTGTGTGCATTTGCAGCAGAGAAGAGCCACCTCTATCTATGTGCATGGCAAGAAAGAAGACGTGTCTTAGGAACTCCCAAGTTACTGAGCTCACTGACACAAAGAAAGCCAGCTCTGCTGCTGCTGCACTCTCAGTCACCCATGCTGTTTACTATACATATGCATATACACATATAGAAATAGTTATACAGTATATGTGGAAAGAGAGAAAAGCTATTTCTCTTCAAAGAGGCACTTTTGTTGGGGAATCGGTGACCTCTAGATATTCTCTGTGCTACCTCAGACACCTGCTACCACTCACATACCTGCTCTGAGGACTGAGGCGGCCGGACACTGAGGTTCAGCTGAGGCAAGGTGACAGTTCCTCATTTGTGCTGTTCAGATTGTCTTTAACTCCCTGCTTCTGATTAGCCTGAGGATCTGTCAGATCTCTGCACAAGTAGCAATATGCTACATTTCCTGTTTTATTTAGGCTTTCAAAGAGGCCGATAGATCTCTGCTGGAATTTGCAGCCAGGTTTTCATTTCCAGTGAAGATAATCCAGTAAGTGACTTACTTGGAAGACTGGAAATTGCACCAGGCACCCGTTGCAATCTTTTGCAACGAATACCTCCTAGTATTGCACCCTGTGCACCAACTGCACGTGTATGTGCATAGGGACATAAGTATGTGCATAGGGACAGTACCTCGAGTCACTGCAGGGCTCAGGACGCTCTGGATTCTGTGGACACGGATGAAACAACAATACCAGCAAACAGCAGAGTGACCAGTGCGAGAGAGAAGCTGTGATTTGCAAACACAGCTCGGAACAGCCCCATCCCAGAACTTCTGCAAGCACCAGTAAGAGCTGCTTGCCCTTAGAAAATGTTTTGTCAGTGAAGAGTTCCCCCATTTCCAATGGAAATACACACGGTGCTGTTCCACCCTCCTCGGGTTTTCACTCCTCCTAAGGGCTGTGTATGCTGTCTATATAGAATCATAGAATAGTTAGGGTCGGGAAGGACCTAGTTCCACCCCTCCTGCCATGGGCAGGGACACCTCACACTAAATATATGTATATGATTGTGAATGCATATATATGTACGTGTGTATGTGCACTTTGCTGAGGACCTTCCCAGGCTTGTGGCCACCAGCAAGGCTACCACTCAATTTAGCTTTGCATTGCAGCCTCCAGAATGGTTTCAAAGTGATTTAAATCCAACAGGAATGTTTGCTCTTGTTGTCAAAGACACCCTGCATCAAGACTCAGTTGGTGCCAACCTCACGTTACCCTGAGAGGCTGTGTGTGTGCAGAAGGCTAAGCTGGAGGAAGGTTAAAACAATTTATGGGTGGTCACACCAAGGAACTCTATTGAAGAGCTGTTAACCTTCAGTGTTTCAGTCAGCAGCTCCAGCAGTGGCCAGGGCACAAATCAACCTGGTGCATCTGCTGCAGTGGTGAGTGAGGAGAAGCGTCAGCAGCGCAAGCCAAAGCTGTGAGCAGGGCTAGGGGCCTTGGTGCTGCAGCATTACCTCCCTGAGCTGGCAGGCACCATGTCATCCCCTGCAAGCACACATACAGCTCTTCTGATGGGAAGTGATGGGAATCCTTCCTTGAGTATCCTGTTACCAAAAACCAGCCCAGGAACCACCACATCTAATTGCTCTGTGCAGGAATTACAATGGAGATGTTAATCAGAGTCCTAGCACTTTAATGATCCTTATCACTTTTATGGGGTGTGTATTTAATGTTTCCTCTGTGGGAAGCACAAAGTACTCTTCTCTGCACTGGGGCTTTCTAAAGTCCCTGAGCCTTGTCCTGCAAATGCCAAGGCAGGCCCTGCTCTTTGTCTCATGTCTCTTATTAATGTCTCATCTCAGTCTCCCCTCTGGCAGGTTAAAGCCATTCCCCTTGGCCTGTCCCTACAGGACCTTGTCCCAAGCCCCTCTCCAGGTTTCCTGTAGCCCCTTTAGGCACTGGAGCTGCTCTAAGGTCTCCCCTTCAGGAGCCTTCTCTTCTCCAGGCTGAACAAGGGGCATGTTCAAATGATTTTAAAAGCCTTGAAAACTAGAATTCCTGTGAGCCTGTTCAAATGGTTCACAAAGTCCCCATTTCCTACCTTCAGTCCCTGCACTTTATGCCCATGCTGCATCTTCCCAGCCTGCTTTTTCATCTGACACCACTTTTTCAGACCTTTTCAGAACCATTCTAGACCCAGGACCACAGAAATGGCATTCACCCAGCACCACTGTACGTGACTGCACAAGCTGCAAGGTAATGGGGACTCAAAGATGCGGTAACAGTGCCCGAAGCCATGTAAGAGATCCTGCGTCCAGCAAATACCTGAATCAGCAAAATACTTTCAAAATCCCATTCTTTGACCACCCTGTGGCAAAAGCAACCCTCGGGAGAGCTTCCTGTTTCCGGGCACCAGTACCTGCATCTTGCATTAGCAGCCTCTGTGACCTGTGTTTCATCTGATGGGAACAGCCAAGATAAAAGGACACACACAGGCTCGTCACCGGGCTGATGTCTGAGCCTTTATTTAATGTAAAGCCCCTTTGCAGGACGTGACTGATCACAGCTGTATTCCTCACTTGCCACTATTCATGTTTTGTTATAACAGCTTTATTAATAAAGACTGAAGCTCATGATAGATCCTTTAGCTGTTCAGTCAGTGCAAGGCTGTGCAGAGGCTACTGCTGGAGCAAAGGCCTTCACTGTTGAAGTTGTCTTCTCATTTAAATTTTACCTGCTAAAGAGTCAGTAATCTCTGGTCTTGTATTTTAGAGGATTTCTTACCCCTTGTCCTTGTCCAAGAGGAGGAGTCCTTACGTAGTCTGTCTTAGGTTCTATTTTGTTGACTCCTCCTAACCTTCAGAGCAGTGCAATTATCTTTGAAGTGAACATAATGGACTTGAATCTGAATAAGCTTTTCCTAAGAGAGTTTTGAGAAAGCTCACAAAGTAAGTGCTGTTCAGAGTGCTCAAAGCATCTGTTTGAGTTAGAAACAGCCATACCCCATCACTTCGAGGCCCTGAAAGCTGCTGTCTCTGCTGGTTGAGAACATCCCCCAGGCTCTGAGCGGCACCGTGAGTCACCAACTGTATCCTGAGGATGAAAATCATCTTTTTCTGGTCTTTCAATAACAGCTTAAAGCTTTTTTTTGCATACTTCCTGCAGTCATTTTATCCATACCCACCCACTTGTACTGGCTATGCCAACTTGCAGTGTTTTCTAAGGTTCCTTTATCCTCTCTTAGAAAGAAAGCTTGTCTGTGAAACTGTGGTGATTGTCTCTGTACCCCTCTCATCAGTCACAGCTGAGTGGAGTTTGCTTAATGCGACTCACAAAATCCTTTTTATCCGGAGATCACAAAATCACTTCATGGCTGTCATTTCTGCAGCCTGGAAACTCTGCCAAAATTCATCTAGTTTGATGTTCATCATCAGAGCTGGATCCACATCTCTCAACATGGGTTTTGCAGCTCAAAGAACCATCTTGGAGCTTGTAGATGGATCTAAATTCTGAATTCCATCTTTGACTGGTCACAGCGCTGAGTGCATTCCAGCCTCATGTGCCTAAATTAAAACCAAACTGATCCAAAGAGCTCTCAATCATACTCTTGTAAAAGCTACAGGTGCAAACAGCTCTTTTCAGAGCCAACAGCTACAACTTCAGTTTTAGGGTGGGAGCTTGCTGAAAAATGTCTAAGATGAATCACTTGAAAGCCACCGAGCCATTAAATCACAGAGGAACTGGCTGTGTGCTCCCCACCTCTGGTCCACCACGCCACTTGTGTACTGAAAGTTGTGTGGACGTGGGGTGCACGGGTGGGGTCCAGTGCATTAACCAGTGACTGAGCATGGTCTTTATTTACTCTCTGAGCACACTAACACTCCTCCAGTGAGTGCATGTGCAGAGGCTGCTGCTGAGCTGCTCCTCAGCTGGTAGAAGGGTAAGCAGCTTCTCTAAGCATCTCCATGGATCTTTCATAAGATTTTAGTAATGGAGTCAAACTCTTTTCTGAGCTCCGTAGCAAGGGAAATTCTGACTCTATAGAAAGGGTCTGGAAAGATCAGAATGAGGGTGGTGCAGCACTGAAAGCTTTCCCTAGAGCATGCAGGACCTCCATCCTTGGAAATCATCCAAGTTCAACTGGACAAGGCCCTGAGCAACCTGATCATTGACATTGGTCCTTGCTTTGATCAGGAATATGTATGTATGATCGGTAGTGCCCAGTATGCTCCCAGGATACTTCTAGCCTTGGGAAAATAATATTGGATATAGAATGCCAACATTGCCCATTATTTGCATTCAGAGAGGTGCTGAAGAAAATTCCATAGTACCACAGCAATCCTCACATCCTCCAGCCTCCAATTGATGGCTTAGTCCTTGCAACACCCATGTGCCTCCAGCAATGTGCAGGACCTACCAAAGCCCTTGGGCTCTGAAGAGACAGAACTGGCCCTGCAGTGCTGCTCAAAGGGAGGCTTATGGCTGGGACTATGGGGAATAGTTAAACTGATGGGAAACAGCCATGTCTGAATATGCCAGAGAAGGGACATTATGCAGTAGGTGTATTCAGGCAGTCACCTGGAAAGAAATTATTTCAATTTAAATTGTGTAGAGAACTAATCCCTGTGCACTGATGTTGCTTGGTAACAGGTTTTCGTTCTCTGAGTGCTGGAGAAGGGCATGGATAGGAATGGCTGGCCCTGCTCTTGCACATTGAAATGATTTGGTGGCTTCAGCTTAGGCAGTAGTTGTCAGAAATGGGCATCATCACCATGAGCGTTAACCACGGGCATCCCCAGAGGAGGTGTCAGCAGGGAGGGCAGGTATCAGTAATGCAGCTTGGAAGCTGGCCAGTTCCTCTTTGATTCATGGGCCAGCATCTTTCACCATCATTAGACTAAAAAATAGCATTCATCACATGTAGAAGTACTCGGGCAGTCTGTGGTACAAGCCTCTGAGTGTGCCTAAAGAGTCCCTAGTGCTTCACGAAGCTCAGCAGTCCTTCGGCTCCAGTGCATAATCCACAGCACTCTGACTTCTATCCTGACAGTTACTCAGGAAGCCAGTTCTGATAACCCATCACTGCCTGGGTAACCAGTGGCCTCCTGAAAGACCCAGAAAGTGAAAATTAGAAAGCAAATACTTTGAGTTATTTATTGAAGCCAAATGCTGTTATCATCTAAAATACAAAGAAACCGTTACCCACCGAGGGAACTGTGTGTGAGGATTTACCTTCACACATTTACATTCCAAAGGAGCTTTCATTTTGGTTCTTTTTTCTGCTTCTAAAACCTGGTTTGTTTACTGCTCTCTGCTCATAATGGCTAAAAGAAAATTAAAGGTTATTCTCAGAAAATCCAGACATTCATTTCAGTGCCTCTTACTTCATAACTGAGGCTTTTCGATGGCAAACAGATTTTCAGGCTTATTTATAAAGCATCAGTGACATTCAGTGTTCAGTGTGAGTACTGTAAGTCAATCACTTCTGCATGTTGGACGCAGTTCTTCACCTTCATGGCTTGCTGGTTTGGGGCTTCTTGTTAAGACGGTGGTGTAAGGTTTGGAAATCTTGTTTTAGGAGCGGCCCACGTGTCTACAGTGCTTCCAACTGGAATTTTCTGCTTGTTTCTTTCCAGGCTGTTGATATTCTTTTGCAGCATGGAGCTTATGTGAATGTCCAGGATGCAGTTTTTTTCACCCCGCTGCATATTGCTGCATATTATGGCCATGAACAGGTAACTAAAGCTATAGGTTTGGTGTTCGCTTTGCTTTACATTCCAGAGGGTCCTACCACAAAAAGGCCTCATATACAGAAGTTACACTTCTGAAGTCAATCTCTAGCTGTTCCAACAGTCAGAATATCAACAGGAAATTTCTACACTCGATGCTAGGCCCCAGCAAAAATAGGTTTGGTAACCTATGAACAAGCTTGGACCCAGAAGCATGATCCATGTGATGTCTATTCATCCCACATTTCAGAGCTTGCATAAGAAATGTGAGTAGATATTCTTAAATATCTCCAGGGAATAATAATTCCGTGGCAATTCCATTGGTTTTCCCTGCAACGCACAAACTAGCTTGTGGCCACTTTTTGTTAACAGAAAAAAAAGGATTTAGAGAGCAGGGTTTGCATGGGGTCCATGCATGGGACAAGTCCAACTGTGCTTGCTTCCTTCACACAGACCATGACTTACTGAAACAAGCTGAAGCTCTGACCAAAGCTGGCACTGACCCTCCTAACTCTTTCTTTCGACAGTGTGTAGTTGACATGCAGTTAATGTAGCAGTCCAGACCTTTGCCCTCAATAGCCCTGTTACGGGAAATGTGACAATGGATCTATTTTGGGTTACGCACGTCATTCCCCACACCCTTTTTTGGCTAAAAGCATGGATTCTGGGGTACCTTCAAGTTTCAAAGGATGACCTGTAGGCAGAGTGCATTCTTCATTCCAGGACACGTTACTCTGGGTGCACCGAGGAGGTGTTGCAGGAAGAGCTTTTGAAAGCACAGAACTCAGATGCACAGATGAGTGAAGATGTTCCGTATCCGTGGCTGGGGTGAACCAGGAATGCGTTCCCGAGGTGCTGCTTTCCCTATACATGCACCTCATCATCCAGTCACATTAAGGAGCTCCAGGAATGCTGGCTTGAGAGAGGATTGTGCTTATTTGCCATGAGCCACTTCTGAACAAGCAGTCATGGCCTTGTGAAATCGTGCTGAAAGCTCCTATGGTGCTCCTGTGAGGAGAGGCTCAGATCAGGAAGGAAGCAAAGGCTCTGGCAGTTGAGGACTTTGAGGGCATTTGCTCTATTTTGCTGACTGGCCAGTTAAACCAATACGTGTGTCTTGTGTTGAGCCTTTTGCCATACATAGCCATTTAGGGAGTGAATGACTACCTGCCATTGAGGATTTAAATATTTTTATAGATATATAACTCAAAAATAAGTTCTCTACTGAACCTCACCTGATTCAGCTTTAAGGAGACGCCCACCTATAGTACTGCCCAGTGTGATACTCTGTCTGATCTTGCCAAAAGCTGTATTTTCATGTGATAATTTAATGACCTATTCAGGTAACCCACCTCTTACTGAAGTTTGGAGCTGATGTGAACGCAAGCGGTGAAGTTGGAGACAGACCTCTCCACCTGGCTTCTGCCAAAGGCTTTCTCAACATTACGAAACTCTTGGTGGAAGAGGGGAGCAAAGCCGACGGTAAGAAAGGATGTTCTGAAAAACCAACTTGAACAGTGTATTTTATAGGCAGAGTCAGGCCTCAAAGCTTGGATTTACCTTCCTGACGCGTACTCTGCGTGTGTTTGTGTATCGCCTTTGGGCAACTGAAACATACAGACAGGAGCTGGAGAGCTCTCCTCGCTTGTTGGTTTGCCACCTCACGTGTGTTCTGTTCCCATGAGTAACTTAGAGGTGAAAAACAACAGCAGAAAGCAAAGTAAAGATTAATATGCAGAGGTAGCTTACTCCTGAGACCCTCACCCCGGGCAGAGGACCCGCAGCCGTGTGGTGAGTGCTTGCCATCAGAATGACACAAATACGTGGTGAAATCCCAGTGGGGAGGTGCAGATGGAGAATTTTGGGTCAGAATTATACAGCAAGTGATTCAGAATAGTTCAGATGAGAAACTGAAATGGTTCACAAACAGTTCCACTGCAAACGGAGTCTTCCCTGCGCCTGCTTTGCCGTGCTTCACAGGCTGGTTTATAGCCCGATGGGGTAGTGAAGAAACAGACTCCCTGTGAACTCAGAGAGCCAGCTGGTGGCCAGGAAACAAACACTTCCTTTGCCTCCCATGGGCCAACTGCTACTTTTTATTACTCTTCAAACTGCTGGTGCTGGAGGTTTCTTCCAGGGACCACGTGGTATACAATGCATTCTTTGTCTGTGTAATTCCTATAGTCTCTGACTGAAATCTGCTGCTCGCAGGAGCTCTGAGCTGCCTGGACTTGCTCTTCCTCCTCTCTCAAGTGTCTTTGAAAACCACTGTCACCTCTGGCAGATGCAGTTAGTTTTAAATCTAAAGCCAGAGCCCGGTGTTGAGAATCCGCCACGTTCAATCTGTCTCCCAGTCTTAACCAGTTCCCACTCGCTGGGTCATGGCAAGTTTCCCTTGGTTGTTTAAACCAGACCTGCAGAGCCCGTTTTCCAGCCTTGGAAACGTTCCACTCTGTGCTGTGCTTCATTTAGAAATCAGAAAGCTCTCAATTAAACAAACCCATCATCCCACGCTGAGCCATGTGTCCTTTCGGAGGAAGAGGAAATGGCTGCAAGTATTTGACATCCTTTCCAACTGCATAAACAGGGAAGATTTATGTTCCCTTCCCTGCTACAGCCCACAGCTCACTGTGTTGAAGAAGCTCATGGCCCTGGGACCCCTGATGTCCTTCAGGCCATCCCGTGGGTACATATTCCAACAGACTGACATTTATTACTATAAAACACTGACATTTATTCCCCTCTTATCTATTGCACCTCAGAATGAATCTGTGTCTGGTTCTGCAGCATAATAAAACTCAAAGGCTAACATGTCACATGAATCTATAAAGTGAAGAATTATTTTAGAACAGAGAAATAAAACCGTTTACTATTTTACTTTTCCTCCCTTTAAAATACAACTGCAAGGGAGGGTGGTGGAAGCAGTTAATGAAACGTGGGGCCGCAAGCTTAATAGAAGTTAAAGGAATTCCTTTTTGTTTTCTTCTTTGGCCTGAGACAGAATTCACCTTTGGAGTCATCTGTCACTGGACACCACTGAACACTGGAAATCTGGACATCTGAATGAATTCTCCTCTTCCTTTCTTGCCTTTTATGTATTTGTATTTTAAGTGACTATGAAAAACACATCCTTCTTGCATTTCCTTCAGTTTTGTTTGCTTTGTCACTGTATAACTCCATTGAGAAGCCTTCATCCTGCTGCTCAAGGAAGCTAACATGAATCTTAAAACCAACCGGATTCTCCTTTCTTACGAGCAACAACAAGTGTGTTTCTTAATAGTATTTGTAATCCATAACTACTGTTCCGCGCATTCGGAGTAACTCAGTGAATTGCTTTCTTACACATAGCAGCAACATATCTTACTTTTGCTTCACAGCTGCTCTTCCTAAGGGCCACTTGAAACTCGTGAATCATTCATGGGAAGCTCCATCAAAACATTCAATCCATCTGCTACTGGAAGAAAGCAATTACACCCCAAGTCCAAAAAACCATCCTGACAGACTACTACAGATGGCATTGAGTAATGTGGGTTTGATACATGAAAGCTCATAGAAATATCCATTTTAAAGAAAGAGGACCGTAAATATTTTAGCAGGAGGCTTCAAAACATATAGGTGCATCTAGGCACAACACCTAAAGCATTACTAAATGCTCCAAACAAGCTATGTTAAGTATAAAATACTTCCTTTGTTCTCTTTCTGGGTCCAACGGCAGTGAATGCTCAGGACAATGAAGACCATGTCCCTCTGCACTTCTGTTGTCGATTTGGACACCATGAAATCGTGAAGTTCTTACTGCAGAGCAGCTTTGAAGTTCAGCCCCATGTGGTGAACATCTATGGAGACACCCCTCTACACCTGTGAGCTCTGGGTTACCTGGTTTACCACTGGGGAGTTAGACTGGTGGGAAAGCTGGTGGTGGTAACTCCTCTTCACTTCACCTCCAGTGCCTGCTACAACGGGAAGTTCGAGGTTGTGAAGGAAATGATTCAGCTCTCGGGAACAGAAAGTCTCACCAAAGAAAACATATTCAGTGAAACGGCTTTCCACAGGTGAGGTGTTTCAATGCCGTTACCAGCAGCCTTCCACCTGCACGTGCATGTGGAACAGCACCCAGAATTACAACTGCCTCACCGCCAGCCAGGTGAGGAGCAAAGCAAGCAGTGAACTCGGTGTGGATGCTAGGATTACACCTGGAGATACAGGAGAGCATGTGAAGGTAGAACCAGGTAGTCCAGGAGCCCTGAATGAGAAATGAGGTGGTTGAACAGTCTGATTCTGATGCTCTAAGTTTGTAAAGTGTCATTTAAGAGGCACTTTGCAAAACAGACTTTGTATAACTGTGCAAAATGAATCTGTACAATAACTAGAATGTCCCCGAAACAATGGAATGAACGTACTTTGGTGGGTGAACCAATGCCGTACTAAAGGTCCTTTATTCTATTTCTACAGTTTTATCTCTGTGTAATGATTTGTTAATATTGGGCTATCTGAGCTATTTGTCCTTTTATGGAGTACAGCATTCACATTTCCCTTTATTTTACAGTGCTTGCACCTATGGGAAGAACATAGAACTTGTAAAATTTCTTCTGGACCAGAACGTTGTAAGCATCAACCACCAGGGAAGAGATGGGCACACAGGTAACATCACCGTCAGTATGGGTAGGAGGGTATGTTCCAGCATCAAACAATCAGGAAGCCACACAAAGTGAGGACTTCCAGGGTAACCCCCACAGTAGTTGGATGACCAGCACCCAGTTACCCTTCAGAGAGATCCCAGCTCTTTTGGAATACATTTGCAGGTGTGCAAAGCAGTGATAAAAGTTCAGTGAGGATGTGCCAGGCCCATTAGTTTGTATATGAGTAACAAACCCGATGCAGACTGATTCTCCCATAGCTGGGCTTCTAAGTAGGTTCAGGAATTGGGCCCAAGTACAGTTCTGCTAGGGACCAGGCATGAAGGATCTGGTGTCTGAAGGGCTTCACACCTCCATGGCCCTGCCACAGGCAACAGCAAAAGAGCCACCTTTGTTTCTGCTTGCTTCTCCTCAGTACAAAGCTGTTCAGTGTGATTTGCAGGTGGGAGAGTAAATGCTGACATCTTGTGTGCAGGCCGCAGAGGGGCTCTGCAACATCCCCGTTCCATTTTCACCTAGGGCCTCGGGTACTTTTTTGATAATATATTCCTTTACATAGGAAATCAGTTCGTGCTTTGTACTTGTTGCCGCAAGTCCTGTTTGGATGTTCTGGCAGCTGTGCTTACCATGCTTCTCTGATATTCTAGGACTACACTGTGCTTGCTACCATGGCCACATTCGGCTGGTGCAGTTTTTACTGGATAATGGAGCTGATATGAACCTGGTAGCTTGTGATCCCAGCAGGTCCAGTGGAGAAAAGGATGAGCAGACCTGTTTAATGTGGGCCTATGAGAAAGGTATTTTGGCTTGTTTCTGCTACAAAATCCATCGGAACAGCACAAGGAAGAGGGAACAGCAGAGGAAGGAACACTTCAGAATAACCCCTCAGTCCCTGTAGAACAAGAGCTCTCACCATCTGCTTTCTGGTGCCTGGCATGAAGGGTTATAAAACCCAGCCCTTTGATTTATCTTCTCAGACCCTCTGTTAAGCATTAGTCTGATTCAGCCAGCCTCAAGGCCAGGAGTGTGTCTGTGCTGCTAGAACAGAAAGCAGGCAGCCTGGTCAGGAGAGGCCGTTTCTCCCTCAGGCTGTGCACAAGTTCGAGTTTTGTTCCTGAGGGAGGCATTGCAAGGAGTGAAACAGAGCCAGTTGCCTGAAGTCCTTGCAGGTACGGGTCACAGCAAGGCCGTCTCCATGCTTCCTGTTGTACTGTCCTACGTGGACCAGTTTTCTGTCCTGTCTGTGGCTCCATGCCTTCAGGACGCTCCCCCTCCTCCAAGAGCAGCAGTGTTTCTTACGAGAATGGCTGATAGAGAACTGTGGATTTCAAAAACCTGAGACTGCCAAAACATTTAGTCCCGTTTAGGACACCAAAACTGAAATATTTTCAGGCACTGGTTTCCTTGTAAGGCCTATTGAAGAGCGCCATCAGCTTCCACTGTAGACTTTCTGTATAGGGTTTGTTCTGTTGCCATACTTCACACTTTAGGACCAGGTGAGCTAGCGACAGTAAGACCCTTGTTTTTCTTGGCAGGTATTTCCCTGTGTTTCGTAGTTAAGGATCACAGGATGGCTCCAATGAACGCGGCTGTACCGGTGTCTACATGTTTTATGGACACATTGTGCATTTTTCTAGAAATCCCCTGATTTTGTATTAATCAATTAAAAAAAGAAGACTGTTGAGTTTACCTGCACGTCTTTAGGCTTCCTCTTTCTTCCTCAGGTCATGATGCCATTGTGACCCTTCTGAAGCATTACAAGAGACCTCAAGATGAATCCCCCTGCAACGAATACTCACAACCTGGTGGAGGTATGGTCTGAGCACTCACTTTATCCTCTAACTGAAGGGTCTGATCCAATGATCACTGAAGTCACAGAACCACAGAGTGGTTGCGGCTGGGAGGGACCATGGGAGATCATCCAGTCCAACCCCCTGCTAAAGCTCACTTGGAGCAGGTTCCAGAGCATCACATCCAGTGGGTTTATCTCCAGAGAAGGGGGCTCCTCAGCCTCTCTAGGCATCCCATCCCAGTGCTCTTGCCACTCCCAAAATAAGGAATTTTTTCCTCCTGTTCCTATGGAACTTCCTGTGTCTCAGTTTGTGCCTGTTGCTGGGCATCACTGAAGAGTGGCCCCATCCTTTTGACACCCACCCCTGTATGCATTTGTGAGATCTCCATCAGTCATCTCTTCTCCAGGCCCAGCTCTCTCTCTATAAGATATATATATATTTATCTTACTATAAAATCAGTGTCATGAGAATCACCATTTCCCAGGTACTCTATATATGTCAAAAGTCTTCCTTTATCTCAAAATGGAGTTGTCACTTCCTATCACTCACTAGAAAAAAAGCTAAAGCTGTGAGATGAAGATCAATCCCTTGTAATCATTACTCCTGCCTTTTCCCATCCTAATACCTTGTCTAGCCATTCTCCTTGTGGTGCTTAGCCCTGATGTTTCTGATTGCTGACACTCGGTAGATTTCTATGCTCAGTCCCCTTTGTGTTTTTCAGTGTCTATCTGACTATCTAATTTCCCCTTGGGAAGAATTAATCACCCTTTTTGCTACAAAAAGGCTCATTTGTATTGGCAACTGAATGACAAGTGCTGAGAAGAATGCTGAAGCAAGGAGTTAGATAAATAAACCACTGCAGTGTTCTGTTCCCAGCACAAATCCAAACCAGCCTCACAGCAGCTACTGTGAAGATTAACTCCATCCCAGCCCAACCCAGCACACAATCATATGTGTCAGTGTGCCTGTGTGCATGTCCACCCCTTTATTATTCATTCTTTGAGCAATCACTGCCTCATTAGTTTATCAGTACAGATGCTTCTGCTGTCTTTGGGCTCCACAACTCATTCTGTTCTTCTGTTTCAGATGGTTCCTATGTGTCAGTTCCATCCCCTCTAGGGAAGATTAAAAGCATGACAAAAGGTATTTTAATGGCAATGGAAAACTTGAACTTTTATGGTCTTCTTACCCAGGATGTTTGTCAGCTTACACGCACTGCACAACATTCATTACTCCTGGGGTTTTAACTGTTCAGAAATGTAATGATGGGCATGAGCAGCAGCGACTTTTCCCCAGGGTAACTGTAGGAAATGATATAGTCCCCTTTGTTGCTCAACATCACGATAGTTCCCGTATTCATCTTATTTTCATTTACTTTAAGCAATACATTTATTTTTATTTCTTTGGAGAAAAGGATGTGATTGTAATTTAGCACCAAACCAATGCACAAACATCTATGCAATATCACATTGAAATCCACTGTAAAATGCCTGGATTATCTTTACAAGAAAAATTCTATCCCAAAATAATTGGTGTTAACCTGAACCACAAATAGATAAAATGTTCAGATGAATATTTGTACTTTAAAATATTTCATTTTTTGTAGAGTTTTCAATTTTCCACTTCAAATACGCACGGCCAGTATAATGAAATCCTGACATCCTGCACACAGCGGCGCTGAAATAGTCCATTTAGAAATGTTCTGATAAACTTTATATAATAGACCAAAAAGATCAACAAGGTGTAGCTGTGTGCTAACAAAATGAAGCTGCAAAATTTAGATTCCCCTGGCACTAGAGAGTCGGTCAAATCTGGAATTGCATCCCCTGCATTAGTGATGAGCTTCTACAGGAAAACAGGAGCTAAGTCTGTGTATAAAGAGTGTTATAGAACCATGAGATGAGAAGGCAGAATATGCCCTGGGATAGTGATCATCAGGGGTAAGGACTGGAAGCCAAGAAAGCCCAAACAGCTGAGGCAGTGCATTGGTCTCTAACCGGTTTTGCTGTGGTTACTGAAAGAAAAGGGAATAGGATTTAAGGGAGGAAAACCAGCTTCCAGAGCACAGGGGTGCATGAGGGTAAATCCTCATGTTCTGCCCTTCCCCATGACCCACACTGTGCAACAGGAAAGTGTTTTCCTTTGCAGAGAAGGCCGACATCCTCCTGCTCCGTGCTGGTTTGCCATCACACTTCCACCTGCAGCTCTCCGACCTAGAGTTCCATGAGATCATCGGCTCAGGTACCCGAGGAAGCATGCACCCATTTGTAGTGCCTGATGCACCCGTTTGGAAAGCCTGATGCTCCCATTTAAAACGCCTGGTGCTCAGGATCAAGAACTTTGTGCTCATTTATTTCAAACCATTTCAGGTTCTTTCGGGAAAGTGTACAAGGGACGGTGCAGAAATAAAATCGTGGCAATCAAGCGGTGAGTTCATCAAAGTTCTCCACCTTGAAGCATTGACACCCCCTGTTCTGTGCTGTTTCTGCCTTACTGTGTCCCTCGTGTGAACCCGCAGCTACCGAGCCAACACGTACTGCTCCAAATCGGACGTGGACATGTTCTGCCGCGAAGTTTCCATCCTCTGCCGCCTGAACCACCCGTGTGTCATCCAGTTTGTGGGAGCCTGCCTGGACGACCCCAGCCAGTTTGCTATCGTCACTCAGTACATCTCAGGGGGATCGCTCTTCTCCCTGCTCCATGAACAAAAGAGGTATCTATCTGCTCCATCCCTGCCGGGGCTGGCGGTACAGATCGGGGCGACTGGTAAACCAGTGCCCGTGTAAATGTTGGTTTCAGTGCAAAGCAACAGGGGAAGGAACACATGAGAAAAGATGTTAGCTGTGATGCAGATAACTGGAGGTACAAGGGAAATTAATAAGTCATCACATTATCATTATTTCACATTATCTGCGTTTACATTCTGTGGCTTATGTGGCATTAGTGTGTATTTAAAGCAATCGTAAAGGTTCCGAGATGTACAGGTAAGAACAATTTACAGGTAATTTATGTCTGTTTATTCATTTTGAGTAATCTCTTTGGTTTGGGTTTTTTTTTCAACATACAGAACTCTGGATCTGCAGTCTAAGTTAATCATTGCTGTAGATGTTGCCAAAGGCATGGAGTACCTCCACAACCTCACCCAACCCATCATACACCGCGATCTGAACAGGTGAGTGTCTTCTTTACCCCAACCATTCCGGGAATACGAAGCCTCCAGCAGCAGCAATGCTCTGCAGCCTCCCCTGTACCCACAGGCTCTGGTTCCTGAGTGGTACCCCAGTAACACTGATGGGGCTTGGAGGAAGGTCTGCTTGCACCAGTTGGGCTGGGAACTGCAACACGAGGCTTCCACATCCACTGGAGGCTTTAGCACGCTGTAGTGGACTGAGCAGCAGCCAGCTTTGTGTGTGTAGTGGTTTCCCTGACCGGTAGCTTGTCTGAACACTACCTCTTACAGCGCACCTGCATGAGGGCTCCTCAGGGATGGCTTTTCCATGCTCCCTGCTGCTTAGGGTATTTCCCCAGTACGAGTCTTTGGCTCAAAAACGTGAATTCATTTCACCTGTCTTCATAAAACCAGCAAATAGTTTGGGCTGGAAGGGATGTTCAAAGCTCATCTAATCCAACCCCCTGCAGTGACCAGGGACATCTTCAATAGATCACTTCTCTGGGCACCCTGTGCCAGCGCCTCAGCACCCTCACAGGGAAGAGCTTCTGCCTAAGAGCTCCTCTCAGTCTCCCCTCCGGCAGGTTAAAGCCATTCCCCTTGGCCTGTCCCTACCTCCCCTTGTAGAGCTGTTTTTCCCCTTTGCTGAGCTAAGAATGAAAGTGGCTGTTGGCCTGGGCCCAGTTCTGGCGTGGAATTCTGAGGGAATATGAGGCAGCAGCAGTTTTCTAGCATGTTGCTGGCACTGTGAAGGGAACAGCCGGCCCGCAGGAGGGGAGGGAGCGCCCAGTGACAAACCAGAGAGCCAGGCATGTGTGCAATGAAATTCTCCTTGAATTCTCCTCAGTGCCCAAGATCTCCGGGTTCAAAAGGGCACTGCAGGAAGGAGTTACCTGCTCCTGAAGAGATTCTTTAAATGAAAGAACAACTCCATTGTGGTTACGAAAGAAAAACATGCCCCCGCAGGCTGAGGAAGCAAATCACAGCACTGGTGCAAAGGAAACGCCACCTTTCTTTATTTTAGGCTGAAAAATGCAGCCTACAAACCCTAATGAGGGATTTATGTGCCCCAGGTTAGTAATAGTGGCACGAATTCTGCTTTACGCTCTGACTACACATTTTAGCACACTTTGCTGTATTTGCCTGCTCCAATGTCCAGGCGCATCCATCAGCTCACACTGAAACTGCCTCAAGTAGAGGAATGGCTGCATCCAGCACTGCGCTGCAGGCCCTGCTGCTGTGTTGGGCTGTGCAGCCATGTGTATGGCTGTGATCAACAGGGGGTAAGGAGGATATTGCTGGAGTGCTCCTCTTACAGTCAAGGATCCTCCTCCTCCTCACCCTGACTTCACGCATCCACCACTTCTCCCTGGGTGTCCCCATGCATCTCCGTCCCTTCACAGCTCCCTTTCAGGCCACCAAAGAGTGAGGCTCAGAGGAGGGAGATGCTTTGTTTGAAGCTGTAGTTCCTGCCTCAGTTGTGATGCAAGACAAGAGCCCATGTCTGAGAGCTGCAGCCTGTGCAACTGGTTTAGGACAGCAAAGACCCGGATGAGCCTTGTCGCTGCCGGCTCTTAGGAGAATAGTTCTGCTCTCAAGGGTTTAAATCACGTTTTCAAGAAAGAAAACGCAAAACATTCTCTCCCCAGAGAGCCAACAAGTGCATCATTGCCTCTCAGAACTTTTACCAGATCTTACTTATGGGGTCACAAGATAATTTGCTGTAGGGACATCAGTGTGCTGATGTGATCAGTGGTGCTGCGAGTAGCTTAACTGTTGAAGGTTTCCAGTGCGAGAGCAGAAGTCGTGTTTGCAGCATGAGTCCCAGTCAGCCAAGGCACTATTACAGGATGAAAACCTTCAGGACAATTGAAGAGGAACACCAAGAGGGAAACTCTGAGTTAAGTTTTGCCAGTGGATTCACAGGAGCCTCACATTTTGTACCTTAAGTTTCACATAGCTTGTAACCGTCTTTATGAGATCTGAAATCCAATGCAATGCACATAATGCATTCAATAAATCTGCAATATGGCTTGAAAGAACTGAGAGAAAATGGACCTTTCATGTCTCTGCCCTGGAAAAGGGGTTATCCTTCCATTTGGAGAATAATTGGGAGTTTTCTTTTGCTTTCCAGTTCTGACAGCTATCAGCAACCGTGACACGTATCAGCTTATTACTACTAACACTGCAGTGAGGGTTGTAGCCACAATGATTATAGCACTTTAATAAAAAAAGAGAGACCATTTTAGTAGCTATCTAATTTAAGCCACAGCAGCTGAACATGGTTGGGCCAAGCCTTTGAGTGACTCACCTTCATTTCATGGCTCCTACTGTCTATAAAAGCTCCTGAGAGCCAGCTTAGTGAGGAAGATGAAAGCAAGGATGGAAGCCTGACGGTAATGAGGATGGTGTCTGCAACTCCTCTTTGTTATAAACCCCCTTGTGAAACCTTAAAATAGCAGTTGCCTTTCATTAGGCCCACAGCGTGCTAAAGGCAGAAGGATCTTTCCATGGCCTGTTCCCTGGGAAGGGGACACGCAGCCAACATGCTCTGTGGGCTCTTGCCCTGGGACGGAGCAGCCCCTGCACACGCGAGGCCCGCAGCACCGCGTGTGCCTGTGGCAGCCGATGAGCACACACTCCTCTTTCCTCCCGCTTTCTTTCCACAGAAGAGAGCACTGCTCAGTCCCACCGTCACAAGCCGTGTGTGGCTTTAGCACAAAACAGTTGATTTGTGATTCTGCTGAACTCACCGTTAACCTTCCGTCAGCTCAGCTCAGGCTTCTCTTGCTGCGTTTCTCAAAACAGAGGCTTACGAGTCCCTTTCTCATCTGTGGCTTTCAGATCTCCATGTGCCATTGAGGCAACAATAGTGTTTTGGAGCTGCTCCTCCCAAGCCTTATTTCTGGGGGCTATATTTATTCCTCTACATAAGCAAAATCAGCAGCTGTAGTGTTCAGTGGTGGGAGCAGACTGACAAACCCTTCCAGAGGTCACACCTGCTGCCAGCACCAAGAGGAGCATTTGGCATTGGTTAGGGTATGGAAAGGGTCCATGCACAGAAAGGGTCTATTACTGATTTCTCGGCTTCTCCCCAAAAACTGCCATGCCAGGACTAGACTGTTATTGCCAAGTTGGGTGTATTCAGGGTCTGTACTATCCCTGAGCAGGTTGAAGCTGAAGCTGGGGCTCAATACATGTATTCACATTGAGAAATGGTGATCATCTCTGTCGCTGCTCACAGAGCTCAAACCTGAACCAAGACCACAGAGGACTTCAGTTCTGTAGGATCCTGTGCTCAGCCCAGGGTTCAGCCTTCAGGACTCTCTACTTTAGGCTTGCCTGGATTAACATTTTCATTTGACACCTGGTGGGGGTCTCCAAACAATTGCACTGTCCATGGCAGTGTCCACGGCCAGGCTGGACAAGGCTTGGAGCAACCTGCTCTAGGGGAAGGTGTCTCTGCCCATGGCAGGGGGCTGGAACTGGGTGAGCTTTTAAGGTCCCTTCAACCCAAACCAGTCTGGGATTCTGTGATTCTGTGCTGCACTCAAATCACTTAAATATTCTGTAGAAAGTATCTACGGGAGCTAAAGTCAGTTGTGGCCATGTTGTATGAACCCATTACACTTCTATGATTTATTTTATCATCCCAAGGTTTGGTTTAGGTAAACCAGAGACCTTGAAGATTTGTGGGAGTCCTGGTTGGGAGAGCTTAACTTTTTTCTGTCCTAAACACTGTTATCTGGTGAAATCTGTGTTCCTCACTTGGCTGTTCTTGCTCGTATCTACAGCTCTAATATGGGCAAGTTAGGCTTTTTGGTTAAGGCCATCAATATTACTTTCATTTCCCCTTCATCACATAAGTCATGGCCAAGTTTTTCATTTCTTCTTTTCCTACACTCTACACTCTGTTGAACTCACTCTGAACAGCCAGTATTTTGACAAATACCGTGTCAGCATCGGGGTGTCCACACTCATGCATCTTCCCAGTGCAACCTGCTCAGCCCTTTCCAAAGCCACGTGCCATGAAGACCTAGTGACTGCTGTAGGAAACCTTCACCTCCAGAGTTCCTGGAAGCCTTTGGCCTAGCCAGAGCATCTTGTGCAGTTTCCCACATCCCCACTTTGTGTGAAAACCAGCGTGTGTGATGCTGATTTCCAAAAGCCTTGCTCTTCGTTCTCCCATGGAATCAGTGCTTTTCTGCTTTCTCCTGTGTGCTCTTTGCTGAACATTAAATCAGTTGCAGTAGCTTCCTTGGATCAGTAAATCCATTTTCAATGGATTTTATATATGACTTTCCTGCATTTGTTTATGTGGAGGGAACACTTCAGCCCTGGTAACTCTATGCTGTCCAATGTGTCAGCAGTGTAGTAAAATGACACCTTGTTTTCTGTACTCAGTATAGCATGAAGAAGAAGAGGAGCAGGAAATAAGTGCATTTGAAAGGCATCTATGAATCCACAGAAGCAAAAGCCCGTATGTGTATAAATATGCCTATAGGTAATTTACTTAGTGCTTGGGGAATTACTGACATGGAATGGGTTGCCCAGGGAAGTTGTGAGTGCTCCATCCCTGGCAGTGTTCAAGGCCAGGTTGGACAGAGCCTTGGGTGACCTGCTTTAGTGTGAGGTGTCCCTGCCCATGGCAGGGGGGTTGGAACTGGATGATCTTAAGGTCCTTTCCAACCCTAACTATTCTGTGATTCTATGAACTCCCTTAGCAACCCCCTATGTAGTTTGCTGCATGAAGAGCTGCTTGCTGCTGAGAGATTAAAGGGAGGCCACTGGAGAGCTGCAGTTAATAAAATCACAGAGCAGTTAAGCTGGGAGGGACCTCCAAGATCATCTGGTCCAAAACCTCCCCCTTCACTTTGGCTGACTTCAAAGGAAATTCTCTATGAAACCCAGCAGTAACACACAATGCTGCTTCAGACCTTATCTCTGGCTGAATAATTCATCTCACATGGCAAACCCCACCTGCAGATTAGACTGAGCCCCTTACAAAACACAGCAGAGAGGACCTGTTGGACTAGATTCAATCTGGGTTATTTTGATGAACAGAGCTTCAGTCCTTTGCTTCTCTACCCCTCCGCTAAGTGCCACAGAAGTGGAAGGACTGCTGCCAATGCCTTTGACTTCAGGTGCCACTGCCCAGCCAAAAGCCATGGAATGGGAACTGGGATTAGCAGAAAGCTAGATTTTCAGGTTGAGGCTTTGTACAGTAGCAGAGCTGGCAGAAGGAAGGGATGATCTACTCCAACAGTTCCCTTGTGACTGTTGGCTCTTTCTCTCTATACTCTTGGCAAAGTAAATACAACCTGAATCATCTCTCCGGAATTAACTGATGCATCTAAGCTAAAACAAGTGTCGCCAAAGGGTGTCATTGATCCGCACCGCAGAGACCCACAAGGAAAGCGAACAGCAAACCCAGGAGTGGGCACGCTGCAAACCGTGCCTTGCTCCCCCTCTACTGACCAGCCCGCGCATAAACCTGGCAGGCAGGACGGGAAGCTTCCCGTTCTGTGTTTGCTGCCAGGGAAGTGACGGTTGGGGTTTGGTGTCAGCAGGGCACGAAGGTCCCCGAGATTCACCCCGGGAATTCGCCTTTTATGTGCAGCTTTTGGACAGCTGAAGGTTGGCTCCTAGGATTTGCTGCCACCGTAACTTAGGCCAGCTTAGGGGATGAGCTCAGGGGGAACGCCCCAGGTAGGTCACTCAGTTACTTACAAGGAAAAATACCGTTTTCTTTGCACAGCACACGGTGAAATGTCTGATTCCATCTAATTCAGGACAAAATCGGAAGTTGCCATCTTGAACATTCCTGGCGATACCTGGGCTTATTCTCAACCTGCTCTGCTAAATGAGTTTATTGCCAAGATCCCTGGGGCTTAACTTCTCTTGGGACGTTTGCCTAGTCTCCAGTTGTATATTATCCATTTCCTGCAGCCTCTGCAATCTCTGTCCCAATGGCCTTTCTGAATCACTCCAACACTTCTGCATGTTCAACTTCTGGATAAATCTGGGCAGGGAGCCCTTGAGCTCCTGCTCGTTCCTGCGTGGTTGTGTTCTCAGGTAGCTGATCAATAGCTCATTTTCCATCAGCACTTGCTGTTCCAAACAGGAATTGCCAAGTCAACAGGTAGCATTTCCCCATTGGAAGGATTCCTGAGCCAGACGCAGGTGAGCAGGTACAGCTGTACCAAACACATACCATAGTCCTGCATGGGATCAGTCCTTCCCTTCTTCCTGTTGGCATCAATTAGGAATTGCCACTATGAATTTACACTTGCAAAAGCTTTAAAAGAGAAAAGAATGTCATTTCATTTAGGGGCCATCACTGCATTTATATTCAAATGTCACCTTTTTCACTTCATTACTGCGAATCAGTGCACACACTGGATGAAGCTGTTGCACTTGATCTGTAGCTAATTACAGACATTCTTTTGCTCTAGTATTGATTCAAAACTGACATTCTCAGTTATGAAGCTATTGGGTTTGCCTCCTTGGAGTTCATGTGTACTTTATTACAGCAAATAGCAGATGTAGCTCAAAGTCGTTTATCTATAGACAATGCGGTGATTTGAACCCCTTGTGAGCTCAGCCAGGAACCAAAACCTGTGATTTTTCACCACCTTTAAGACACTATTAACCATTTCTGTATTCTCCCCCAGTCACAACATTCTGCTGTATGAGGACGGCCATGCGGTTGTTGCTGATTTTGGAGGTAAGGAGTTTTTATGGAACATTAGAAATGGACCTCAGGTTCTCTCTAACTAAACACGTGCCGGCTGAGGAAATGCTGAGGAGTTTGCCCCTTGTTTTGTTATTGTGAGAGGACACAAAAAGCTTGTAGGGACGAGAATACCCCCCGTTTTCATGTCAAATAAGCCATCAGGTCTGTGGAGCACCCCATTTACCTGAGCAGGAAGGCCGGGTGCTGGTGAGATGATGTGCTCAGCTTGAGCAGGTTCTAGTGGCAGGTTAGAGGAAGAAGTTGAGTGAAAATGCCTGTAAGAGATAGCTAGTGCTCAGGATCTGAGGACGGTGTCAGTGCCATGGGTTAGTGGTAGCCTTGGCAGCACTGGGGAAGTGGTTGGACTGGATGATCCTAAAGGTCTTTTCCAACCGGGCTGATCCTATGAGCCTATGATGGTGCAGGCCTGCCTGCTGGCACTGAGCCCCTTGGCTGCAGGACCGGTTTCTTTCATTCTAGTTAGCAGAGCAGAATGCAGCCCGTCCCTTCAGTCACAGACCCCAGTAACTCTGCGTCCAAACCCAGAGCAGGCTGCACTGTATGAACCTGGACTTTGTGCACTGTCTTGGTGTTTGTCAGACAAGCGCTACTGAGTGTGTTAATGCTGGTGCAGGGAGCTGAGTTTGACCCGACTCCTCAGAGCTACCTGACTTTAGCCTTGGCCATTGCCACCACAGATGTGACCACCAGAGATACATGAACAGCTGCTTAACACAGGAGAAGGGTGGTGTCAGCATCACCATGCCTGTGATGGACCCAGTGCTGAGCCAGACCTGCTGCTATCAGCCCTGCCGAGGCAAGGAGGAGCTGCTCATCCAAGCTGATGCTGGCAATGCTCTCATCCATGTACTTGCACACTGAAGTGCAGTCTTCAGATACTGCAAAGGCTCCTAAGTCCTGCTCAGGGACTGATTCCTGCATCACAACATGGGGCGTGTGCCACCACCTCCACTATGTTCATGCAGGATCTCTCATTTCCCAGTGGGAAGCTTTTCTGACACTGCAAGAGATTGACAGCCCCCATTGTAAAGCAGGGCTCAGTGGCAGCCTGCTGTCAGCCTAGGTGCACTTATAGTGACCCACACAAATAGCCATGAGGTGACACTGAGCCGGAGCCGCAGTTGCTGCCAACTGCTGCTAATGTTGATGGAGCTTTGATGGCAGAGCTGAATCTGGCACGCAGGCTGCAGAAGCCTCATTGTGTGCACGCAGCCTGGCTGGGGAGCTGCTGTCACAGCTCTCCTGGGCAAAACCCCCAGATGATGACTTAATAAAACCCCCACTTCTTACCAAGGCTTTGGTGTCCTGCATTGTGCGTCTGCGTTGCCTTGACAGTAACTTTTCTTGTTGTTGTTCTGTGTGTTTCAGAATCTAGATTTTTGCAGTCCCTGGATGAAGACAATATGACAAAGCAACCTGGGGTTTGTTTCTTGCTTTGTTCCACATCATTAGTTCAAAACGTACAGGCAAACTCAGTTCAGGAGCAAATGACATCAGATGCATTTGTGCTGGAAAAGATGAACCCGCATCGCATTTTATCTCCCTTAATGTTTCTTTGTGTTTTCTTTTTCCATTTAAACCTCTTTAAGAGCAGAGATGAGTGAATATAGAATATCTGCAAGAGAAAATCATGGGGTTTAGGTTGTCTTTGGAGCTCCATTGCCCCCCAAACCCTTAGTGAAGTGTCATTTGTTATCCACCCTTGCCACGCACATACACAGGGTGCTGGTAGGTGCTTCCTATTCCTATTCCTAACAGGGAATTAGCAATTCCACACTGCTTTTCTTTTCTCCATTACAAGCCTGTTGCTCAGAGTCAGCTTCACAAGACAGTGTGGTTGTTCTCATGAGTTTCAGTCCAGATGCATTCCACGAAGTTTGCACCATCACAACGACTGATGCTGGTGGTGCCAGACCAAGGGCTGACAACCACCTGTCCACCACTGCTGCCAGGCACTGGCTGCGTGAGGATGGGCACTGATGCAGCAGAGCTGGATGCCACTGGGGTGTGACGGAGCCCACTGAGAAGGGCTGTGCTGTGAGGAGGAACCTGCCCTAGCACCCTGAGCCCAGCACCCTGAACCCATCATCCTGAACCCATCATCCTGATCCCAGCACCCTGATCCCAGCACCCTGAACCCATCACCCTGAACCCATCATCCTGATCCCAGCACCCTGAACCCATCACCCTGAACCCATCATCCTGATCCCAGCACCCTGAACCCATCATCCTGAACCCATCATACTGAACCCAGCACCCTGAGCCCAGCACCCTGAGCCCAGCACCCTGAACCCAGCACTCTGAACCCATCATACTGAACCCGTCACCCTGAACCCGTCACCCTGAACCCATCATCCTGATCCCAGCACCCTGAACCCATCATCCTGAACCCATCATACTGAACCCAGCACCCTGAGCCCAGCATCCTGAACCCAGCACTCTGAACCCATCATCCTGAACCCGTCACCCTGAACCCGTCACCCTGAACCCATCATCCTGACCCCAGCACCCTGAACTCATCACACTGAACCCATCATCCTGACCCCAGCACCCTGAACTCATCACACTGAACCCATCATCCTGAACCCGTCACCCTGAACCCGTCACCCTGAACCCATCATCCTGACCCCAGCACCCTGAACTCATCACACTGAACCCATCATCCTGACCCCAGCACCCTGAACTCATCACACTGAACCCATCATCCTGAACCCAGCACCCTGAACCCACCACCCTAAACCCATCACCCTAAACCCATCACCCTGAACCCATCACCCTGAACCCATCACACTGGTCAGAGGCTGGTTACTTGTGAGAAAGCCTCAGGATGGGGCTTCTGCAGCAAGCAGGAGCCAGTTTCTCCATCTACCAGCTCCTAGCAGTTGATAGGTGCTATATGGCATTGTCAGACCTTACAATGTGGTCTCCAGGCCTTGATACTGGGTGTCCTGGTTTTAGTCCAGCACTGCTTGTGTGTTTAAAGCCTGATCACTCTGGCTTTATGGTTGAGACTGCTGCCATGCTAATGCTGTTGTGTGGTGCCCAGACTTTGCAAGCAGGGTGAAAATGTTTCCTGGCAAATTTACCAGTTATTTTATGGAGCAATGGAGACAAGGAAGAAAGGAAAACCCCATACAAATACAGGCAAGGATACACACGTGAAGAAGTAAACACTAACACGTCTTATTGATGTTCCCTGATGCACAGAACCTACGCTGGATGGCCCCTGAGGTGTTCACCCAGTGTACGAGGTACACCATAAAAGCCGATGTTTTCAGCTATGCCTTGTGCCTCTGGGAGCTGTTAACAGGTGAAATCCCATTTGCTCACCTCAAACCAGGTAAGATGCTTTTCCAACCTAGGTGATTCTGTGATTCTTAGACTGGGGTTGATCTGGGTCTGATACCAGTTTACCCACAACTGGAGTACGCCCATCACCCTGGCTTAATAATGAAGATACCTTTTTTAAGGTGAGAGGAACATTAACTCATTTCACCTCCCAAAGGCCTTTTTGTGGGGGGCTTCTTTCTTTTTCTCTTGGGTCTAAGCACAGTCAGGTTCTCTTCACGCATGCCCAGGCTTAGCAGCACCATGTTTCCACCCAGGGCTGCCGGCTGCCCTGTCTCTATATAAACAGTGTGGGCTGGGAAGCCTCTTTAAGCCCCCAGCCTGGTGGCTCCATGTCCCCGTGCCCGCAGTGGGGTGTTTCAGTGGTACCACTGATGGTGTGTGGTACATGGCTGTGAGTGCTGACCCACGTATCTGCTGGTGACCGCGGTGTCTGCTGGTGACTGCGGTGTCTGCCAGTGACAGCGGTGTCTGCCGGTGACAGCGGTGTCTGCTGGTGACTGCGGTGTCTGCTGGTGACTGCGGTGTCTGCTGGTGACCGCGGTGTCTGCTGGTGACAGCGGTGTCTGCTGGTGACCGTGGTGTCTGCTGGTGACTGTGGTGTGTGTCGGTGACCGCGGTGTGTGTCAGTGACCGCGGTGTCTGTCGGTGACCGTGATGTGTGTCGGTGACCGCGGTGTGTGTTGGTGACCGCGGTGTGTGTCGGTGACTGCAGTGTGTGTTGGTGACCGCGGTGTGTGTCGGTGACCACGGTGTGTGTCGGTGACCACGGTGTCTGTCGGTGACCGCGATGTGTGTCGGTGACCGCAGTGTGTGTCGGTGACCGCGGTGTGTGTCGGTGACCGCGGTGTGTGTCGGTGACCGTGATGTGTGTCGGTGACCGCGGTGTGTGTTGGTGACCGCGGTGTGTGTCAGTGACCGCGGTGTGTGTCGGTGACCGCGGTGTGTGTTGGTGACCACGGTGTCTGTCGGTGACCGCGGTGTGTGTTGGTGACCACGGTGTCTGTCAGTGACCGCGGTGTCTGTCGGTGACCGCGATGTGTGTCGGTGACTGCAGTGTGTGTCGGTGACCGCGGTGTGTGTTGGTGACCACGGTGTGTGTCGGTGACCGCGGTGTGTGTTGGTGACCGCGGTGTGTGTCAGTGACCGCGGTGTGTGTCGGTGACCGCGGTGTGTGTTGGTGACCACGGTGTCTGTCGGTGACCGCGGTGTGTGTTGGTGACCACGGTGTCTGTCAGTGACCGCGGTGTCTGTCGGTGACCGCGATGTGTGTCGGTGACTGCAGTGTGTGTCGGTGACCGCGGTGTGTGTTGGTGACCACGGTGTGTGTCGGTGACCGCGGTGTGTGTCGGTGACCGCGGTGTCCGTCAGTGACCGCGGTGTGTGTCGGTGACCGCGGTGTGTGTTGGTGACCGCGGTGTGTGTTGGTGACCACGGTGTCTGTCAGTGACCACGGTGTCTGTCGGTGACCGCGATGTGTGTCGGTGACCGCAGTGTGTGTCGGTGACCGCGGTGTCTGTCGGTGACCGCGATGTGTGTTGGTGACCGCGGTGTGTGTCGGTGACCGCGGTGTCTGTCAGTGACCGCGATGTGTGTTGGTGACCGCGGTGTGTGTCGGTGACCGCGGTGTGTGTCGGTGACCGCGGTGTGTGTCGGTGACCGCGGTGTGTGTTGGTGACCACGGTGTGTGTCGGTGACCGCGGTGTGTGTCGGTGACCGCGGTGTCCGTCAGTGACCGCGGTGTCTGTCGGTGACCGCGGTGTCTGTCGGTGACCGCGGTGTGTGTCGGTGACCGCGGTGTGTGTCGGTGACCGCGGTGTGTGTCGGTGACTGCGGTGTGTGTCGGTGACCGCGGTGTCTGTCGGTGACCGCGGTGTCTGTCAGTGACTGCGATGTGTGTCGGTGACCGCGGTGTGTGTTGGTGACCACGGTGTGTGTCGGTGACCGCGGTGTCTGTCAGTGACCGCGGTGTGTGTCGGTGACCGCGGTGTGTGTCTCCTGCAGCGGCGGCGGCCGCAGACATGGCGTACCACCACATCCGCCCGCCCATCGGGTACTCCATCCCCAAGCCCATCTCCGCGCTGCTGATGAGGGGCTGGAACGCCTGTCCCGAGGTGAGTGCTGGCGGGGGCAGGCACCCCTGGCTGCCAAGGTCCGTGCAGGGAGCAGGTTAGCTCTCGCTGTGACAGGGCGTGCTTGCTGGAACGCTGGCAGCCTTTGCTCTGTGACCACGCTGCTCTCAGCAGCATTGCTGTCGGTTTGGGATGCGGTTTGCACGGCCCAGGGAGGTGAGAGCGTGCTGCTAATCCTAACCTGGGCCTCTCCCGTTCCATCCATCTAAACTCCTTATGGCTCTTCCTATTATTACAGTGTTTCCCCATATGATATTGAATTTAATTTCCAAAGGCTTAAACTAGTGAACACAATGAGTACTCTTCCCCAGCTGAGAACTTTCCCCTGGGACTGGTTAATGCTGCTAAAGACAAACTCAGAGATGTGCTGCAATTCATGGTCTCTCCTTTAGGACAGAAAGTAACTGCTCTGTGAATGTCAAGACACATGTTATATTGGCTGGAATTCCTGTCTTTTGGAGCCCAGCAATGCCTGCAGGACAGGAGTCTGATTTAACCAGGAGCTGTTGCAGTCAGGGAGGTGTTGATGACTGGAAAATACGATCTGATTATCCCAACTAAGTCAATAGCAACAGCATTAATAAAGTAAAATACACAAGCGTTCCCTTCTGAGGTTATGAAACAGGAGTTAAAGGAAGACTGGTTTGTGTTGGCTTCTGCAGCCTGTTGCTATTTCTGCACTAAAGGGAGCATGAACTAACTAAAGCAAGACTGCAAAAACCTCATCATCCTCACAGTGGCCATAGCAGGAGTTAATGGTGCTTGAGAGCATTCAGGGTAGAGGTAGGATACAACAACCCCTAACAGGTCTTTATATCCCTGTCCTCATAGTGAGGGTCAGATCTCCCAAAGGCAGCACTGCTGGTGCTGCATCCCAGCTGTACCTCCCGCCTGGCTGGGTCCTGCACAGGTCTGTGTGTGTGCCCATGAAAGTGATGCAGATTTTGGACCCTGTGCATTGCTGCTCTGGCCTCCCTAATTCCTGGGCTTTGGCAGTGTTCCCTGGGGATGGAAAATAGAAAGCAGCCAGATGAATGTCATCTCCATGAAGCATCTCTCACACAGAGGGCTATGGAGATGGGCTGGTCCTTTATATGCTTCTATGTGCCAGCTGGGCAGGGGGCCCTGAATGGTCCATCACAGCATCCTTGTGCGTGTCCCAGGCATCCCTGCATGTGACTCTGAACTGCCTGAGAAATATCCTCCAGAGCCTGGGAATTCAGTTTGCTTAGATGTGTATCATATGTGTATGATACCAAATCAGTCACACATCAAATGTGTATCATATCATAGAATCATATCTTGGACTGGTTCAGGTTGGGAGGGACCTTAAAGCCAACCCAGTTCCAACCCCTGCCACAGGCAGGGACATCTTCCACTAGAGCGGCTGGCTCCAAGCTCCATCCAATGTACCTGCAGCTCAGGACACAGCTGGTTTGTCTCATCACTGGGTTATTTATTGTCAGTGTTTCCTGGGTTCTTGTATATGCTCTTGTCTGGGCACTGCAGGAGCTCATGTTATGGCAGAGGGTGTTGGTTTGTTTTCCATAACTATAAAGTAGTTACTAATACTCATAAGCATGTAACTCACGTTCTGTTTAAATGTATTAATAAGATGTCATATTGAATTGTTGACTTAAGGAAATGCAATGTAATGGATACAGTCACTGTATCTTGTTAGCATCTCCACAGATCATTTAGCCCCAATGAAAAGAAACTCTTTTCAGAATCCTAATGCACTTTGTCACTCATCAGTATCACTCCAGCACCACTTAATCTTGCTAATGTCTTAGAGCTGTGTGATAGAGCTATGGGTTCAGTCAGCTTGACCTTTGCACAAAATGTGGGCAAAAACTTACTAAAATGAGCTTTACTAAAGGTGTTTTGCTCCTGTTCTCAGAAGCAAGGGGGCACTTACTTCTGAGGGCCACGGAACTCAGGGAAAGGGGAATGGGGCCACTGTAATGTGCTTTGACACAGCTCTGCCTGCTCTTGTGTTCGCAGGGGAGGCCGGAGTTCTCAGAAGTAGTCACAAAACTGGAGGAATGTCTGTGCAACATTGAGGTAAGGGTGAGCGTGGGTGCGCTGCGGGGTACACGTGGGGCTTGCGGCAGGCGAGGGCAGAGCCTGCAGCCACTTCCCCCCATCACGAACCAGTGCGCTGGGTGATGAAGGCGCGGTGTGAGGAGTGCTTCGTACAGGTGCCGGGAGGAGGAGGCAGGACCCACATATTGCTGTGAGCAAGAAGTGCACTGAAGGGACAGCCCGCAGTGCTGGGGCCATGCAGGATTTTATGGTCCCATTCGTCCCATCCCAGACTGCTCAGGTTAACAAGAATCAAAGACAAATTGGCCAAGACCCTTGGGAGAAAGGTAAAACCCAGACAACGTAAGAGGCAATGCAAAGGCGATTCCTGCTCTGGGCTGTGGCTGTAACACAGATGAATGTATCAGCCCTCAGCCTGGTGTAAGATGAGTGGTCAAAGCAGATGACTCAGGGCTGCAGTTCCTGAAGGGGTATTTTCTGTGCCTATTGGTGCATGTCAGTCGTAAAGAACAAACCGAACCAAAGAACTCCTTGCAAAATGGATCCCTGCTCTTGAGCTTAGGGGTCAGAGAAGACACACGTAACCTACCGCATTCCTTCATGCTCTGACTGCAGCAGGGTACTCCAGGTGAGGCAGAAGCTTTCCAGCGCAGAAAAGCAGGTGAAGCACTACCACAAGGAGCCACGTCACCTCATGGCAGGCCAGGTTGCTGTGGTACACGGGCAGCAGCGTGTGCTGGAAGATACCTGGGGCAAGAGCTTATACATGAAAAAGGGAAAGCATTACTTAGCTGGGGAGTTAGAGCTGAGCTGTGCTACAGCCAGGGCACAGCCTTGTTTGAGAGGAGACTTAAGGAGCAAGGCCTTTGGTAAGTTAAGCACCGCAGACGATAACGAATTTTCTCCCTCCACCTCCTCTATTTCCTCCCTTTTTAACTCTCCTCAGCTGGTCAAAGCCAGGAGGTTTTTGTGCGCCAAACTTTGAAGAAAATGTAAGGACAGGGCAAGGGGAATGGCTTGAACCTGCCCGAGGGGAGACTGAGATGAGCTCTTAGGCAGAAGCTCTTCCCTGTGAGGGTGCTGAGGCGCTGGCACAGGGTGCCCAGAGAAGCTGTGGCTGCCCCATCCCTGGCAGTGTTCAAGGCCAGGTTGGACACAGGGGCTTGGAGCAAGCTGCTCCAGTGGAAGGGGTCCCTGCCCGTGGCAGGGGCTGGAGCTGGATGGGCTTTGAGGTCCCTTCCAACACAAACCAGGCTGGGGTTCTGTGAAATGCAGGACTCAAAAAAGACGAGGGAAGGTTTGTAAATACGTAACAACGGTGCCCGGTTTTGTCTTTAAACCCAGCTGATGTCCCCAGCCTCCAGCAACAGCAGCGGCTCCCTGTCCCCCTCCTCGTCCTCGGACTGCCTCGCTGCTCGGGGAGGTCCTGGCCGCAGCCACGTCGCAGCGCTGCGGAGCCGCTTCGAGCTGGAGTACGCCTTGAACGCGCGGGCATACGCGGTGTGGTCACAGAGGTGGGTACCGGCCCTGCCTGGGACAGCCCATGTCCGGCTCCGCTCTGAGGAGAGGAGGGGGACGGTCCTGCACATGGCAGCCCCTCGGGCTCAGGGCTGAGCAGCCTCTTGGCCGGACAGCGGGTTTGGTCAGGGACTGGAAGACAATTCAGTGAACTTACTCGCAGGGGTCTCTTGGCAGTGATGCATGGAACACGCTACACTGATCTCGGATTGGTGCCCAGGACTGCTTCTGGAATAGCAGCATACAAACGGTTGTAAAGCCGCAGACAGTCTATTTGAGGGACGTTATCCTGAGAGGGGATGCAGTGTGAGCATCCGAGACATCTTCCCGCTTCATAACTTCTTGGTTTTTGGTTACTGCAAATGCCCGTGGCTGGGCATCAGGCTGAGGGACTTCATGTCGGTATTTTCCTTCCACCTCTGTAGAAGTCCTGATGATCTGAGATGTGACCTGATCACTTACCTAACCTGACCCCTCCTGCTTCATTTGCAGCACGGGGCAACGCCCTTCTCAGGGGCTGTCTTTGGATGACATGAGACGAAACTTCCAGTACCCCCCGATTGACAAGAACGGTGAGTGGGTGCAGAACAGCCCGCGGCGTGGCTGAGCTACAATGCTGCCCCTCTGGAGGCACCAGAACACCCCCGGAGAGAGCAGTGCAGGGGCTGGATGGGTCGGCAGGGGCTGGGGAGGTCGCTCACTGCAGTGCTGACACACATGGGTCCATCTGCTCCACCTGCTGCTCTTGCTGAGCCCAATGGCAGCACCACGGACCCACCTTGTGCCTGCCCCATGCAGCGTGCTGGAGCTCAGGGGGAAGGCAGGCAGCCTGCAGACAGAGCAGTACAAGAGGCGTCTTCTGAAGCCACTGCTGGAGGCACCAGCATACAGAGCGCTGCAGTTCACCGATGCAAAACCAGGCTCTGATGCCCTCTTTGAAAAGCACCACAGAGCAGGCAGGAGCCGAGTCTTTGGCACTGCCTGTGCCACCCGCCTCTGTTCTGACAGCTGGGTACAGGTTTTGTCACAAATCCTTGTATCGGACTTTGGGATGTGATGGACAAAGGGGGCAAACAGCGGCAGGAGCCATGAGCCTTACATGGCAGGGAACAGCAGCGGCATCCTCAGCACCGAGAGCGGGGCTGGGCTCTGACAGGCAGCACGCACAGGCAGGGACACGCACACCACGGGAGCAGCAGCAGGAAGGTGCCGGTGCTGCTGCAGGCAGAGGGGCTCTGCAGCCTCTGCTCCTCCCATCACTGCTGCTGAGCGCGTACAAGGGGACACCTTTCCCTGTGTGCTCCGACGGCAGCTGTGTGGAGCGGCTCCACCATCCTCACTGTTTGCTGCCATCCCCTGCTCTGGGGCCTCCTCACTTCCTCTCCTGGCATCCGTTCCCTTTCCTGCCACTTCCCAGCCTGTTCTGTCACCAGAATGCAGTGGTTTGTTCTGCCTGAAGCATCTATCCGACACTTGGCATCTTTGCAGCTCTGCACGGGCCCCAGCATGGCCCTTGCACTCCCTCCCTTCCTCTGACAGAGCACATGGGGTGAGAAGAGGAGAAAATCTCCCCGTGTGCTGTGTACAGCACCAGGAGCAGCGCTGCTGTCACGAGTGATGAGGTGCTGACCTCTGAAACTGAACCAGAACAGAAGCTCTGCTGTTATGACTCTGTACGTGGCTGCAGAGCTGCAGGGAGCGCACAGGGAGCAGCTCCTAGGGCACAGCTCTCATCAGGTACCCGGCACCTGGGAGATTCAGGGAGGAAGAAAACCAGAGACAGGAATGTTCAGTGAACCCCTCTGGTGAGAGCATCTGGGCAAGGCTGGAGCGGGGTTCTCGGGCCTGTGTTAGAGAGGAACAAAAGGGAATGAAGTGCTGGGGGAGAAGAGGCTCTCCATATCAGTCCAGTGAAATCAGAGGAGCTGGAGCAGGTGACCAGTGACACCGTGCGAAGGAAGCACCGGTTTCTTCGGCACTGTTGGGGTGTGCATTGGAGATACAGGGCTGGCATGAGCTGTCGCTGTGTTTGGTAGTGTCAGGAACTGAAATGCTCTACAAATGCCTCTATGAGAACGCTTCAGAGCAGCTCCAGCTGAAAGGACAGAAGGTAATTTCCAATGGCAAACTTCCATCGTGCCATTAAAACATCGAGATCGGTGGTTTTATGTCGGTAACCGGGCCTGCTTTGTGTTGCTCATTGTGAATTCTTCACACGGGTGACAGGGTCTGTTTACCTCCCAGTTAAACTTCTCCTCAGCAGAGGATATCGAGGGAAGTTTGCAGCCAGGGAGGAGGTATTGGCATGATCCTGCTCACCCCAAACTGACACGCACATTACCTGGCTGGGGGGTAACGTTACACTGCAGGGAAGGCTGGGGGGGACCGCTGCGGTGCTGAGCCCCACAAAACCTCTCTCTGTGCCCCACAGGCTACGTGTCGGACCCCATGAGCACCATGAGGTTTCATTCCTGCAGCAGTGGCAGCTTTGAAGAAAGCAGCTGACAGCATGAACCGTCCCTCTGCGGAGAGACCCATCACCGTGTCAGCACTGACCCAGGCTCCCAGTGCTGCACTGAGGACCCCCAACAGCTCCATGTGCTGGTGGCAAATGTCCCCGTCACAAGTCCTGCTTTAGCATCTTTCTCTGCTGACCTGCTTGAAGGTTAGGAGTTTTTGGTGGTGTGCATCTCTTCCTTCACAAATGAATGTTAATGTTAAATGAGGGATTTAAAAGACAGGTAGATGTGGCACTGAAGGACATGGTTAATGGTGGACTTGGCAGCGCTGAGTTAGTGGTTGGCCTTGATGATCTTGAAGGTCTTTTCCTACCGAAATGATTCTGTGACTCTAATGTCCCACAGGGAATGCTGCACTTTCACCTGGAGCTTCAATAATATGATGTGGTGAAAGTAAAAATGCATCTGTTGTAGTTTCAGAGCTGTGCAGCAAGATGTTCTTAGGTGGGACTGCCCGAAAGTGAGGGGCTACCAGCCCAGTGCTGACTGGAAGGAGCTGGGAGCCACTGGTCTGCCCTGGTCAGGAGGAGCAGCAGCCCTTTGCTCCCCACCTCCACCCAGACCATGCAGAGCTGAAGATTTTCCCGCTTCCAGCTCCTGAACCAGATCAGTCACAGAACCCCAGCCTGGTTTAGGTTGGAAGGGAGCTTAAAGCTCCTCCAGCTCCAGCCCCTGCCACGGGCAGGGACCCCTTCCACCAGAGCAGCTTGCTCCAAGCCCCTGTGTCCAACCTGGCCTTGAACACTGCCAGGGATGGGGCAGCCACAGCTTCTCTGGGCACCCTGTGCCAGCGCCTCAGCACCCTCACAGGGAAGAGCTTCTGCCTAAGAGCTCAGCTCAGCTCCCCTCTGGCAGGTTAAAGCCATTCCCCTTGGCCTGTTACTGTTTGAGACCCATTTTCTGTCTGAGCTCCCTCAGTCCCAGGCACATCCTGTGTCTCATGTTCTACACCATGGGCTTGCACAGCCCCAGCACAGCGGCCCCCGGCTGCAACTCACCAAAGCCTGGTCCTTGGATGCTTTGTGCTTGCTGAGAATAAAGGTATCTGGGTGGTCACATTCACTGCTCTCTTCCAGCCATCTGTGTTTTCTTACCCACCTGCTTGGTTTGGTTGGAGGGATTGGTTTTGACAGACTCAGTATCCTTCTAAGCCTTTGCTTACAGGAAGCAAGAGGAACTCACAGCAAACTTTAAACCACAAGGGAAATATTTAGGACTGTGTCACAAATAACCTCAACACAGGGAACAGCGCAGTCCGGCCTCAAAGCAAAGCTGCTGCAGGATGCTCTCTGGAGCCTGCTGAGCACCATACATGGGCTGGGCCACAGCACCTCCGGTCACTGCACATTCAACGTAACTAAATAAACTAAAACCACCCCGAACAGGTCGGGGGGGTGCGGTGGTGGGAGCTGACCGCTGCTTCTAGAGGCGGTGGCAGTTCATTGCACTGGAACCTTCTGCCAATAGCGAGGGTCAGCTGGAAGCGCTCCCACTGCCCTGTTACTCCCTGCCTGGAGCACGCCGGTGCCCAAGCGCTGCCCTGCAGCAGAGCCGAGCCCGGTGCCTGAGCACGGACCTGCCCTGGGGGAGCCCACCCGGGGCTGGGTCCATGCAGGGTGGCCCCCACCGGCCGCGGGCAGCGCACGGAGGTGCCGCCAGCGCGCCTGTGTCCGCACGCGGTCAGTGCCGTGAATGCTTGGGGCTGGTGCACATCCTGCTGCTCCCAAGAGCCACCTGCATCCCCTCGCGCTGGCGTTAATCAGTGACTAGCAAGGAGCAGAACCACCGCCTGTAGCAGGTCTGAAAGCTGCGGGTTCAGACCTCTTAGCGAGGTCCAAACGTTCGATGGGTCTGCTTCTTACCAAACAATTCCACCCTCTCCAATGACAGGCGTGCTCCCATTTGAAAGCACACAAATGGCACAGCTTTAACGGCCAGCCCAGCAGCAGCAGGGCCAGCCACTGAAACTGCCGAATTCAGCTCAATTGTGTATGTGGTTCCAGCCCTCTGACCATGTTAGAAATCAGCCCCATTGAAGGAGCTGGACAAATGAACATGGCCCAGCACAGCTCCAGTCCATGGCCCTCAGTGACCTGCAAGTGGCTTCATCAGCAGGGAACAGGGGAGGAAGAAGGTAAGCATGAGAACGGGGGAACTGTCTGGTCCATGCCAGGGGAAAAGGTGAGATGGGGCAAGAACTGCTTCGTACCACAGATCAAAGCTCACCCACACCTGCCCTGTATGTGAGAGAAGAGAAAGAAGCACGACAGAGAGGCGCTCATCCCGTCAATATGAGCTCAGAAATCATGGCGTGTTCTTGGGAAAGCTGTTTTTTTTTCTCCCAGTCTATAAAACCAGAGTATTTGCAGGGTGGGGGTTTAGAGCAATACAAGAAGTCGTACAATTGGTATGTTCCAAAGCAAAGGGTTCATTCCCATAATGGTTAAAATCACACACACAAGTGTCAGTTGTAAATATATCAAGTATTTTAACTAATGAATTGTCAGCTTCCTTCCCCAATCACTGCAGCACCATTCACCTTGGGCTTCCCTGGTGCCTACCACCAACAAATCACACCTCGTGTGTTTTCATCCTGCACTCAGTAAAGCAGCTCAATGTCAGATAGACCAGTATGACTCACAACGTGCCCAAGTACAGCCTTAGTTTCAGTCCTGACCCTTCCAGGCAACCCCTGCAAAGGCAAATCCCTGTCCTCCTCCTTCTGTGCTTGCTCAGCTCCAACACTTGAATTGCAACCACGTGTATGGATGTGCAATTGTAAATGGTGCTGGTGCAACCATGCTTACAAGCCACAGGCCTTTGCTCTGCATGAGTGCATGCATGATGTAGTTATAGCATTCAACTCGGCATTAGTCATTTGGTTAGAAAGAAGAGATCAGTACTGAAGACCAGGCCCTGGCACGAGTTACTCTTGAACAAGATTCAAGATACATCATTCTGTGAAACCATCTGCAAAGATCTAAGAAACTGCACAGACTGGCCCAGGGGCTTTGATACCCCAGACGGATGTGCAGTGCCCACCCCTGGACAAGGTCCTTAGCACGACTTTCCATTCTGTGCCCTTCACACGCCAGGAGACACAGCAGAGCTGGAATGCAGACTCCAGCAGTGTAGATCTGCAGCCAGCTTCACCCTGCTGACCACCCAGCACAGCCTCATGGGCCAGGGAATCACTCCTGACTGGCACCAGCAGAAGCAAAAGGCTTTATTCATTCACAGACCCATTAGAGCTGCTCTGATCCAATGATCTTCAACATTGCCAAGTGACAAGAACACCCTGAAGCATGGCCAGCAGCAAGCCTGGACCCCAAGGACAGAGACACCCCCCCGCCAAGGAGCGCAGCATCCCCCAAGCAAACACCCCATCTCGTGACCCTGCCAAGCACCCCCAGCTGCCCTATGGGAGTCAGAGCAGCAGTGGGTGCCCATGGCAGCGGTAGGGACACAGCCCTGGCTCACAGCGAAGAGCCTGCAGCTCAGAATAGGAAATGACACACAGGGAAGAGCAGTCACGACATGGACACAGCCACCACCGCGGGCACTGGGTGCAGACACCTCCTGTCCTGTGAGCACACACAGCACAGCCACCCTCAGCCTGCAGCAGTGGTGCTGGGGGAGGAGACTCAGCTGGTCCAGTATTTCCCTGTGTCTGGGGAAAAGCAAGCATGGAACAGCCCTTGTGATTGTCCTCTTCATCATTCTGAGTGTGCTGCTCCCTGGGCTGGCGGGTTCAGGCTTGCTTTGGGTGTCTGCTGCACACGGAGAAGCTGCTCTGGTAAAATGTGACAGACAGTTGTGGTACTCATGGAGTGAAATAAAGGAGGGAACATTGCAATCAGCACAAAGCTACAGCAACTTGTGTCAGTGTTGAGGAAGGAGCTGCAGAAAAAGCTTAGAGGCTGCTTTCTTTCCCAAGCTGGGGCTGTACCGGGGGCACGACAGCGGTGTCTGTGACTGCAGGCTCCTACGGAACAGAGAGAAAAATGTCAGCTTACACAAAACATGCTGAAGTTTGAGCTACTGCGATGCTGCTGCAACAGGTTCCTGCAAGCTGATGCTGGAGTAACCAGAAAAGTTGAGTGCTGCTGCTGCGGCAGAGGAGCCAGGCAGAGGAGCGGGATGCTGGGCATCAGGAGCTGCTCCACATGGTAATGGCAGGGGCGGGGTTGCTGCAAGTGTTAGTGCCAGAGCAAATATGTTTGCTATGAGATTTTGTGAGCAAGGAAGAATGCAGAAGCTGACACCCAAAAGGATTCATCATCCTATGGAGACAGGCTGAGAGAGGAGGGCTTGTCCAGCCTTGAGAAGGCACTGGGGAGACCTTAGAGCAGTTCTAGTGCCTAAAGGGGCTACAGGAAACCTGGAGAAGGGCTTTGGACAAGGGCCTGTAGGGACAGGGAAAGGGGAATGGCTTTAACCTGCCAGGGGAGAGACTGAGGTGAGCTCTTAGGCAGAAGCTCTTCCCTGTGATGGTGCTGAGGCGCTGGCACAGGGTGCCCAGAGAAGCTGTGGCTGCCCCATCCCTGGCAGTGTTCAAGGCCAGGTTGGACACAGGGGCTTGGAGCAAGCTGCTCTAGTGGAAGGGGTCCCTGCCCGTGGCAGGGGTTGGAGCTGGGTGAGCTTCGAGGTCCCTTCCACCACAAAGCTTTCCATGATTCTCGGGCTCTATGACCCCTCACCCCAAGTACCAGCTGCAGACATTCCACTTATAGCAAACGGGATGAAGTGGTGCACCCTCTGCTCGGGACAGGGACAGCGTGGGGACAGTGTGTGGGACAGGGGCTGACCCGCACAGGATTCACCTCACGGGGACTGTGGCTCCTCTCGCCCGCATCAGCAGCTCCTGGGGTGTCCGGGCTCCCTCCGACGGGACTGTCCGTCCCCTGCTCCCCGGCCCCAGCAGGGCTCTGTGCACTCGCCGGGACAGGGGCTGCTGCTCCCTCTGCAGTGCCCCCATGGAGGCCGCTCTGCTCCCGCTCTGCTCCCCCCGCCGCCTGCTCTGCCCCGTCCTCGCTGCCCGGATGTCCCCGCTGCAGCCGTGGGGAGCTCAGCGCCTCGGCCCCGGCGGCCCCATCCGCGGGCCCCTCCTGCCCCGCTGCCCCCGCCGCGCTCCCCCCCCGCCCCGGGGCAGACCCCGCTGCCCCCTCCACTGCCCCGTCGCCGGCAGGCTGCGCCTTCCCTGTCCCCTCAGCACACCCCGCGGGTCCCTCCATCCCATCTGCCCGCTCCCCCGGACCTGCTGCTCGCCCCGTGCCCTCTTCTCCAGGCCTTGGCTCTGCTCTGGCCACCTGCACACACGCCGTCCCCACCCCTCCATCCGCTTTCCCTTCCACTGCTCCCTCCGTCTTTGCCTTGCTGCCTGGAGATGGGTTTCCACACAAGACTGCTTCTGCTGAGCCCTCCTCCTCTTCTGCTGCTGAGGTGTCCTCCAGCCTAAGTGATCCTTCACTTAAGGGATCCCCTCCAGCACCCACCAGTGCCTCCAGTGCAGGTGCCTCTTGCAGCAGGGGACCCTTGCCAGGCTCCACAGACTCCTCCACTGTGTCTTCTACTCTCAGGAAAGAACTCCCCTCCACCTCCAATGCCTCGCCAACCTCAGGTGTTGCTGCTTTCCCCTTCTGCGCCAACTCTTCCCCTGATGCTTTCAGCTGGGAAAACACATTTGGCTTTACAAAGTCATCTCCTCCAGGCACAGACTCTCCTGTGCACACATCCCGATTCCCCAGGGCCTCAAGGAGAGCCCCAGGCTGCTCCACAGCTTCCACCCACCCAGAAATTGTCTCCTTGACAGCCTCTTCCCCATAAGGGTCAGCTGCCCCAGCAAACCCTGCTTCTCCCAAGCTAGCTTCCTCTGCAGCCTCCTCTGCCTCACACACAGCTCCTACCACAACACCCTGAACTGCAGAGGCTCCCTCCTGCATGGCCTCAGACACCATCTTATCCGCATCCAAAACAACCTGACGTGCAGAACCTCCCTCCTGCAAGGGCTCAGAAAACATCTCACTTACAACAAGACCCTGACCTGCAGAACCTCCCTCCTGCAAGTCCTCAGACACCATCTCACTCAAAATAACACCCTGACGTGCAGAACCTCCCTCCTGCACAGCTTCAAACACCATCTCACTCAAAACAACACCCTGACCTGTAGAAGAACCTCCCTCCTGAGTGGCTTCAGACACCATCTCAACCACCTCCACAACACCCTGATCAGCAGAAACTCCCTCCTGCAGGTCTTCAGACACCATCTCACTCACAACAACACCTTGACCTGAAGAACCCCCTCCTTGCATGGACTCAGACACCATCTCACTCACAACACCCTGACCTGCAGAACCCCCTCCTTGTGTGGACTCAGACACTATCTCACTCACAAAAACACCTTGACCTGCAGAACCCCCTCCTTGCATGGACTCAGACACCATCTCACTCACAACACCTTGACCTGTAGAACCTCCATCCAGCACAGCCTCAGACACAATCTCACTCACAACAACACCTTCACTTGCAGAACCCCCCTCCAGCACAGCATCAGACACTATCTCACTCACAACAACACCCTGACCTGCAGAAAACCTCTCCTGCACAGCCTCAGACACCATCTCACTCACAACAACACCTTGACCTGCAGAACCCCCTCCTGGCATGGACTCAGACACCATCTCACGCACAACACCTTGACCTGCAGAACCCCCCTCCAGCACAGCCTCAGACACCATCTCACTCACAACAACACCTTCACCTGCAGAACCCCCTCCTTGCATGGACTCAGACACCATCTCACTAACAACATCTTGACCTGCAGAGCCCCCCTCCAGCACAGCCTCAGACACCATCTCACTCACAACACCTTCACCTGCAGAACCCCACCCTTGCACGGACTCAGACACCATATTGCGCACAGCAACATCCTGACTTGCAGAACCTCCCTCCTGTACAGCCTCAGACACCATCTCACACACCTCCATGACACCCTGACCTGGAGAATCTCCCTCCTCCACACCCTGAGACACCACATCAACTACCTCCAAAACACCCTGACCTGCAGAACCTCTCCCTTGCACAGCCTCACACACTGTCTCACTCACAAGAACATCTTGACCTGCAGAACCTCCCTCCTGCAAGGCCTCAGACACCATCTCACTCACAACACCCTGACCTGCAGAACACCCCTCCTGCACAGCCTCAGACACCACCTCACTCACAACACCTTGACCTGCAGAACACCCCTCCTGCAAGGCCTCAGAAACCATCTCACTCACAACAACACCCTGACCTGCAGAACACCCTTTCTGCACAGCCTCAGACACCATCTCACTCACTTCTACAACACCCTGACCTGCAGAACCTCCATCCTGCAAGGCCTCAGACACCACCTCACTCACAACATCCTGACCTGCGGAACCTCCCTCCTGTACAGCTGCAGACACCACCTCACTCACAACACCCTGACCTGCGGAACCTCCCTCCTGTACAGCTGCAGACACCACCTCACTCACAACACCCTGACCTGCAGAACCTCCCTCCTGCAAGTCCTCAGACACCATCTCAATCACAACACCCTGACCTGCAGAACCTCCCTCCTGCAAGTCCTCAGACACCACCTCACTCACAACACCCTGACCTGCAGAACCTCCCTCCTGTACAGCTGCAGATACCATCTCACACACAAAAACACCTTGACCTCCAGAACCTCCATCCTGCACAGCCTTAGACACCACCTCACTCATAACAACACCTTCACGTGCAGAAACTCCCTCCTGTACCGCCTCAGACACCATCTCATTAACAACAACTTGAGCTGCAGAACATTCCCCTTGCACAACCTCAGACACCATCTCACTCACAACACCCTGACATGCAGAACCTCCCTCCTGCACAGCCTCGGACACCATCTCACTCAAAACAACACCCTGACATGTAGAACCACTCTCCCACGTGCCCTCAGACACCATCTCACTCACAACAACACTCTGACCCATAGAACCTCTTTCCAGCAGAGCCTCAGATATCATCTCACTCACATCTACAACACCCTGACTTGCAGAACCTTCCTCCTGCATAGCCTCAGACACCATCTCACTCACATCTACAACACCCTGACCTGCAGAACCTTCCTCCTGCATAGCCTCAGACACCATCTCAACCACTTCCACAACACCCTGACCAGCAGAACCTCCCTTCTGCACCACCCCAAACACCATCTCACTCACAACAACACCCTGACCTGCAGCACCTTCCTCCTGTGTGGCTTCAGACACCATCTCAACCACCTCCATAACACTCTGACATGTAGAACCGCCCACGTGCACAGCTTCAGATACCATCGCACTCACAACAACACCCTGCCCTGCAGCACCTTCATCCTCTGTGGCTTCAGACACCACCTCACTCACAACAATACCCTGACATTCAGAACCTCCCTCCTGCACAGCCTCAGACACCATCTCATCCAAAACAACACCTTGACCTGCAGAATCTCTCTCCTGTAAGTCCTCAGACACCATCTCACTCACAACAACACCCTGACCTGCAGAACCTCCTTCCTGCATGACCTCAGACACCATCTCACTTACAACACCCTGACCTGCAGAACCTCCATCGTGCAAGTCCTCAGACACCATCTCACTCACAACAACACCATGACCTGCAGAACCTCCCTCCTGAACACTCTCAGATACTATCTCACTCACAACAACACCTGCAGAACCTCCTTCCTGCATGAACTCAGACACCATCTCACTTACAACACCCTGACCTGCAGAACCTCCATCGTGCAAGTCCTCAGACACCATCTCACTCACAACAACACCGTGACCTGCAGAACCTCCCTCCTGAACACTCTCAGATACTATCTCACTCACAACAACACCTGCAGAACCTCCTTCCTGCAAGTCCTCAGACACCATCTCACTTACAACAACACTCTGACCTGCAGAACCTCCATCATGCAAGTCCTCAGACACCATCTCACTCACAACAACACCATGACCTGCAGAACCTCCCTCCTGAACACTCTCAGATACTATCTCACTCACAACAACACCTGCAGAACCTCCTTCCTGCAAGTCCTCAGACACCATCTCACTTACAACAACACTCTGACCTGCAGAACCTCCTTCCTGCAAGTCCTCAGACACCATCTCACTCACACCAACACCCTGACCTGGAGAACCTCCATCGTGCAAGTCCTCAGACACCACCTCACTCACACCAACACCCTGACCTGCAGAACCTCCATCGTGCAAGTCCTCAGACACCACCTCACTCACACCAACAACTTGACCTGCAGAAACTCCCACCAGCAAGTCCTCAGACGCCACCTCACTCACAACAACACCTTGACCTCCAGAACCTCCCTCCTGCACAGCCTCAGACACCATCTCATTCACAGCAACACCCTGACCTGCAGAACCTTTCTCCTGTGTGGCTTCAGACACCATCTCAACCACCTCCACAACACCCTGACCTGTAGAACCTCCCTCATGCACGGCTTCAGACACCATCGCACTCACAACAACACCCTGACCTGCAGCACCTTCCTCCTCTGTAGCTTCAGACACGATCTCACTCACAACAACACCTTGACATGCAGAAACTCCCTCCTGCACAGCCTCAGACACCATCTCACCCAAAACAACACCCTGATCTGCAGAATCTCTCTCCTGTAAGTCCTCAGACCCCATCCCACTCACAACAACACCCTGACCTGCAGAGCCTCCCTCCTGCATGACTTCAGATACCATCTTACACACAACAGCATCCTGACCTACAGAGCCTCCCTCCTGAGTGGCCTCCGACACCATCTCACTCACAACACGCTGACATGCAGAACCTCCCTCCTGCATGACCTCACACACCATCTCACTCAAAACAACACCCTGACACGTAGAACCACTCTCCTGCGTGACCTCAGACACCATCTCACTCACAACACCTTGACCCGTAGAATCTCTTTCCAGCAGAGCCTCAGATATCACCTCACTCACATCTATAACAGCCTGACCTGCAGAACCTTCCTCCTGCATAGCCTCAGACACCATCTCACTCACAGCAACACCCTGGCCTAAAGAACCTCCCTCCTGCATGGCCTCAGACACCATCTCACTCACTTCTATAATGGCCTGACCTGCAGAACCTCTCTCCTGCATGGCTTCAGACACCATCTCACTCACAACAACCCCCTGACCTGCAGAACCTACCTCCTTCATTGCTTCAGACACAATCTCTTCCGTCTCCACAACACCCTGATGTGCAGAACCTCCCTCCTGCAGGACACCAGACACAACCTCCCTCACAACACCCTGACCTGCAGAACCTCCCTCCTGCACACCACCAGACACAATCTCACTCACAACACCCTGACCTGCAGAACCTCCCTCCTGCACACCACCAGACACAATCTCACTCACAACAACACCCTGACCTGCAGAATCTCTCTCCTGCTTGACCTCAGACACCATCTCACTCACAACAGCACCTTGACCTGCAGAACACCCCTCCTGCACAGCCGCAGACACCATCTCACTCACAACAGCACCTTGACCTGCAGAACACCCCTCCTGCACAGCCGCAGACACCATCTCACTCACAACACCTTGATCAGCAGAACCTCCCTCCTGTGTGACCTCAGACACCATCTCACTCACATTTACAACACACTGACCTGCAGAACACTCCGCCTGCACAGCCTCAGAAACCACCTCACACTCAACAACACCCTGACCAGCAGAACCTCCCTCCTGCGTGACCTCCGACACCATCTCACTCACATCTACAACACACTGACCTGCAGAACCTCCCTTCTGTACAGCACCAGACACAATCTCACTCACAACAACACCCTGACCTGCAGAACCTCCCTCCTGCAGAGGCTCAGACTCCATCTCACCCTCCTCCACAACACCCTGACCTGCGGAACCTCTCCCTTGCACAGCCTGAGATACCATCCCACTCACAACAGCAACCTGACCTGCAGAACCTGCCACCTTCATGACCTCAGACACCATCGCACTCACAACATCCTGACCTTTATCAACTCCCCCCTGCATGACTTTAGACACCACCGCACTCACAACACCCTGACCTGCAGAACCTCCCTCCTGCACAGCCTTAGAAACCATCTCACTCACAATACCTAGACCTGCAGAATCTCCATCCTGCAGATCCTCAGACACCATCTGACTCACAACATCTTCACCTGCAGAACTTCCCTCCTGCAAGGCCTCAGACATCACTTCACTCACAACAACACCTTTACCTGCAGAACCTCCCTCCTGGGCAGCCTCAGACACCACCTCACTCACAACACCTTCACCTGCAGAACCTCTCTCCTGCACAGGCTTAGATACTGTCTCACTCACAACAACCTGACATGCAGAAACTCCTTCCTGCACAGCCTCAGACACCATCTCACTCATAACAACACCCTGACCGGGAGAACATCCCTCCTGCATAGGCTTAGATACTGTCTCACTCACAACACCCCGACATGCAGAAACTCCCTCCTGCACAGCCTCAGACACCATCTCACCCAAAACAACACCCTGATCTGCAGAATCTCTCTCCTGTAAGTCCTCAGACCCCATCCCACTCACAACAACACCCTGACCTGCAGAGCCTCCCTCCTGCATGACTTCAGATACCATCTTACACACAACAGCATCCTGACCTACAGAGCCTCCCTCCTGAGTGGCCTCCGACACCATCTCACTCACAACACGCTGACATGCAGAACCTCCCTCCTGCATGACCTCAGACACCATCTCACTCATAACAACACCCTGACCGGGAGAACATCCCTCCTGCATAGGCTTAGATACTGTCTCACTCACAACACCCCAACATGCAGAAACTCCCTCCTGCACAGTCTCAGACACCATCTCTCTCAGAACAACCTGGCCTAAAGAATCCCTCCCTTGCACAGCCTCAGACACCA